ATGCACCCATTAAGTCTGTGGTACAGTTTGTCCACAGCCGCATTAAAGTTGCAGTACACATTCCCGACAGTGCCGTCATTTCCCGACGGCTCGGCTCAAAACTCGATAATTATCAGGCAAAATAAGATATTTGAGACCGAATGACCCCTATACTTGTTTAATAGTGACTGTTAGATAGAATATGTTGTTGTTTGGGGATGTTTTCCTTCAAAATAGGGAGCAGAAACTTCGCCACATTCCGACCACGCAGCGAACCTGTTTTTGTTTAGTTCGCTATCACGGGATCTGCTGCGGTGGCCGAGAGCCAATAGCCCGGCCAGGAAATCGAAACTACTACCACCAAATGATAAAGGAAAAGGAAAACTATAACCGGTCATAGAGCGGTCTTCCAACGAAACCCGGTGCTGGTGGATGTTCTTTTAAACCGCAGGAAGAACACTAGTAATGGCTGCTTTAGGCTATAGTGGAGCTAGAAGACGAAGACAAAGACAGACGAATGAAACAACATAGCAAAGGCTGGCAGATAAACATGTTAGTGTTTTAAAAAATAAATACAATGAAGATGTTATCAAGTCGACATTCATTCAAACATACACATGGGTGTTGTTTTTTTCTGGGATTAAACGACGAGAAAAAAAAATCCAGAATAAACAGTAATATTCATCTATATGCTTGCTTTAAAGCAAGTATAACCATCAGGTGTTTAATATACTAATATCAGAAAGCAAGTCTAACGAATAATTATTGCACTTACTGTATATTCTCAACAGCTGAAGACGACGAAGAAAATAATATCCTTCGGTGGAGGTACACAAAGTTTATAAAGGCCTGAGTGAGCCTCTGTGATTGGTCCGCTCCTTGTTTTTGACCACCGATGACCCGCCCCCGACCTGCAACGTCATCTTTGGAAGCACGTGATTCCCTTTCTCTGGAAAAGAGAAAAACGATATGTCTTCATGTTGGATTGTTGCAGCTGAAAACAATTTCTATGAACTCAGGGTTTTTTCTTTGAACTTAAATTATGTCATGGACCATTCAATATATATTTATGGACACTTATAGAAATATAGGTGAAGCAAAGACCCTTTTTTGTAGGCCTAATCAAATCAGCTTTTCGACAAGTTTACAGAGTAAACAAACTGTTGAAATAATTTAAATCCTAAATCCCTATTTGTGTTCTCCTCAGTGTGTTCACATGCATGTTGCTTTATGCAGTAGTTTTGGTTATTCGAGTATAGGCTTAGATGAATGCAGATTTTCCCAACTAGATTTATTCTAAAGACATTTAGACACCTTTTGGCAATCGGTTTCATTACCAGGTTTCTTATCTTCCTTTAACATGTGTGCATGTACATGAGAAACTCTTCAAACAGTGGAAGTATTGTTGTGACAGCTGGAAAAGTCTGTTTCTACCACTTGTATACAGTTCATAACACAACTACTGCAAAACAGTAGGCCTACTCCTAAATAATTGATAGGAAGGAGATTGATAATAAGCCTATCTTTACCTTCAACTCCAGCATTAATACTGAAGTTTCAACCAACTATACAATCAAAGTAAAGCAGCCAAATGTGCAATCAAACTACAAACGAAGATAAGGCGACACATTACGTCATACTTTTGGTTGATTATGTCTCAGACAAAGCTGTGTTTTTGAAGGATGGCAGTGAAATTAAAATGTATTACTCAATAAGGTTAAATAAGATGTTCAATACTATTAGTGATGGCCGATGTTTTCATTTTTATAACAATGGGATTGAATGAACATGCAGGATTTACATGAACTTGCTGGAACAAAGTCTGAGTTGATCATGTGGTTGATAAAGGTTGTGAAACTGAGAACTCTGATTAGGCCGAGTTGTTTATGCATTTGGAACCAAACCTTTTGTTGTATGAACACTTCTTATTTATGAAATAATCTGACATTAGATGTAGAAAGTAAGCAAGTACATGAACTCTACCTAATCTATAGTACTGCCAAAGTAGAGTTTTTAGTTTTTTACATGAATATTGATACAAGGCTTTTTATTCTACAGACTCACAACCATTGGTAGTGTAACTATTTACAAAAGTACTGCAAGTAAGTAAATACTATTTGACCTACTTTTAATAATAGTTATTATTTCTTCTGCTACATTTCAGAGGGAATCTGGTCTCTTTTTTACTACATTGTATTTATCTGACATGAGTTACTTTGCAGATTTAAAACATACTATAATGTACACAGATTTGTTTTAAATGTAACGAAACACATACATTTGCATCAGTGGAAATAAAGCCAAATATTCTACAAATGAGTATTTTAACACTATGCTGATAAAGCTTGTTCCCTTTTACATATTGCTTCCCTCATCAATTAACAAAAAATGAATGTGAATGCTTCCACCTCTGCTGACACACTCATCAGAGACATCCAAGATGCTCTAATCTGGTGTTAAGCTGACTCTATAATATATAACTGAGCATACTTGCATATCCACACAGGAAGTTCTCCGTCAACCATTGTCATGTGGATCCAGTTACACATGCTGAGGATGCATGTCTGCTCTCTCATTTCTGCCAATTATGTTTCTTTTTTAGCTTGTGTAAAATATGATGCAGTGGAAATATTGGAACATCATGCACCCCGTTACAACATAAACATGTGATGCATTACATGGACATCATGATTGACTCATGTCACTATGTCACTGTTTAGATGTAGCACTAGCATTCAATGTATTGAGTATGATACTTGTATCCTTTTCAATTAATACTATATTTACTTTATCACATAGGCCTAAATAGAAATCCCTGTATAAGCATTCAAGTTATAGTTAATATTCTAACTTTTAACTTTGAACTGCTAACTGACTGCTGGCCCGAAATTCCTTCTTATCTTTCAAATATTTGAACAATGGTATCTTCTCCTTCAAGTATTGACAACAATAACAGTATGTTTAGTACAATGTTATATGATTGTTTGCACAGCTGAGTAGGCTAGATTTCTAAAAGTATCCAAACAAATACCCAGCCTGTTGTTGCAATCTCTCTTTCAGTGAAAGTAGCTAGCAGCACTAGCTTCAAAAGTAGCCACATTTACAAGAAAGTCGCTAAATTGACAATTCTGACAATGCCCCTGCTTAGTTTTATTGCTAATTTCCTTATTTTTTTAAAGTAACGTATGAATATTCAGTTTATCTTAACTGTTGTTGGTAAACTCAGACAATTGCTACCATATCATTAATACATTCCTAAGATTAGGATGCTAAACTAAACAAGGTTATCAGCCGCGGTCTGTGGTCTTCACATCCAGACACAAACAAACACAGAGTTGAATGACCAACATCTCTACACACCAGTCAATATCCCTCCTTGTTGTTTTTCTTTACATCACAGCCTCTAATGAGCAGTTACATAAGGTATCTGCATTAAGCTAAAGAGCGAGTGTTCTTCACAATGCTAAGGAAGGCAAGCAAATGAAAAACTATGCTGTGTTGCCAGTAAACCTCCCTTTACTGACAGGAATCAAACCCAACAGGTTTTTCTTTTAAATTAAGAAAGGTTGGCATTACCTCATTAATGTATTTATAGTGTGTACTTGTACATGTTTTGCAGTCTGATATGTTACGTTCTACATCACTGTTTAATTTCAGTTCATTTACTTATTTCATTAAATTAGGCTATATTATTTTACCTTAGGTTATATTTTGTATTCCCATTTGATAACTGCACTATTTCATGTTTAAGATGAAACAATGACTCGTTTTACTTTTATGCTTATTTAATTGGGCATTGGAAATAGGAAGATTACCTCAATATTTCTTTATTACTTTTGATTATCTTCAGTATCCCTTGTTTGTGTGCACTGCCGTTTGTTTAAGTAGGCCAAACTGATTCCAAAACATGAAGGCACAGTTAGGAAATTAATGCTTTTTTTGTAAATGTGATGGAAAGGTGAGTGGTAGTGGTTCAAACTATGTTTTTTAAAAAAAAGAAAAATGTTGGTATTTATTAACTTATTTAAATTCAAATTTCATTTTTACTTTCATTTTAAAACAGCTTAAAAACACATTAAATGGGGAATTAAGCCTGGATCACTTTGAAGGTGTTGATTGTGCTGAATCGGTCTTATGAAGCAAAACAAATAATAATCACCAAATCTGTCTATAATTCTGTTTTGTAAGATTCAAACTAATCCAGAAACACGTGATTTAATCGTCAGGCCTTCTGCTCTATTTATCCCTCTCTGTACAAATAGTTTTGAATGGCAGTCTACACTGTCAGCATTTGAAACAAGTTGAGACAAATCCAGTCATGTGAGTGTGTGTGTGTTTGTGTGGGCAGAGGGTCGACTTCCTGCAGCTCCACAATGAACTCAGAGACGTGTGAATAACACAGCCTGGAATCTGTTGGAGGACAAATAAAGGTAACGCTTAGAAGACATGCACCTGACCCCGATTCTCCAAAGAGATTTGAAATCATAAGAAGTGAGGAAGTCCTTTAAACATACACTGGGGGGGGGATATTTTAATATCTCTATTATCTTGGTTTAAGTCGTTGCTTAAGTAAAAGCATAGACTATTTTCTAACTCTACAAACAAATGGAATTTACTTTATGTAACACTGGTACAAAAATGATCAGGGTTTTTAATCTTTAATTGAGCCCTAGAGTAATATTTAATGTTTTAAGTGGGATGAATACGTACAATCCTGGTAAGAAAACCAAAAATCTATATTTAATGGTGTGAAACTGCTTCACTTCCACTATATTCCACACACATAACAGTTCAACAGTGCATTGCATCTCACCGAGATAACAAATATAAAGTCAATGTCTTCTAAAACCTTATCAGTACAGGGACAAAAACCCATAAGAACAGGATGTTGTTACTTGGAAATAAAGCAAAAACATGTGGTCAAATATGTTGTTGCTGTCTCAGGACTTCTATCGATAGGGAACCAGGGTGCAGACTTGTTGAATTACCTAATTGTATGTCTTCAATCAGAACAGAGACAATGACGTTAGGTAAAGAATTTATTATAAAATGTATTACACTATAAAGTGTCAGAAGTACTAACAACATGGCATTCCAAGACATGCTAAAATAACGTAACATAAATAGCGACAAAAAGACAATGTGTGCAATGTGGCGATTAGACCGCAGTCTCTGAAGGTGGGAGAATAAGCATCAAACAAAAACATACAGACAAATACTTTTGAATCCACTCATTTATGTCTGAACCATATGGAAATAAAGACAAAGCTCATAATAATATAGTGATTCCCAGCTTTTACAAAAACATAATATTCACTTCCCTTTCTGAAACATGACTTCTCCGCTTGTATACTGTACAAAGTTATAAGAGGAATTAACGAGTGTGTTTTAGGCACACAGCATTGGCAAACTTTTTAAAGAAAAATAAAGTAAGTATAAATATGTGTCTGACCAGTTTGGGACATTTAATCACATTTGTACATTTTGCACATTTGTAGCATATCTTTGATTCGTTTTTATATTCTTAGGAGCGATGTGCAGTACATTCAGTTTGCCTTGTTGAAATTGGAATCAACTAATTGAGGCCAAGAGGGTGAAAAGGGAAGTGAAGAACCAGGCCGGGAGTATTTACATCACAGCTGGAAATATTGCTGCGTGGATTGGCAAGTTCAGGCCCAGACAAATAAAGTTAGAGAAGTACTATATTTGAAAAAGTATTCAAAGCATTATCTCTGCAAAACAGACAGTAACACTGGGAAAGTAAAGCGGACAGGAAATACTGCACTCTGGCACGTCAGCGCAACTGTTTACTACCAACTTGTGACAGTGTCCTGAAAAAGGGCCACACAGTATTGACATCTTTTTAAGAATGAAAGACTCTTTTCCAAAAACATCAACACATGAAAATGTTTTCTGATCACAAACATTATAAAACGCCCAGCTTACACCGATACGACATTTCTGTCACCAGCAGCCTCTGGCCCTTTCTACAGCTAACAATACTAACTTTATTCCATCTTTTACTTTGCTTTTGCTGACCGAGCCGGGCCGCAGCTTCAGGTTATAAAAAGACAAAAGTGAAAGGAGATGTGAAGCCACGCTCAAATGTACCTTTACTAATCTGACACTGGACGGTTACTTCACGTTGATGAGGCAGCATCACAAAGGTGCCGTGTCAGGTGTGTTTACTGGGTTTAATAAATGACCTTTTAGTAGAAAACATGAACTTCTATTTATTTGTTTCCATCATTGTGGTGGCACTCTATTTAAAGTAAAGGAAGATGAGCAGTGTCTGCTCCATTAGGATTTAAAATGTCTCTTTACCTTTACAGCAAATACATTTAGGTGGTAGAAGGCCCAATACCCTTCAATAAGACAATGCACTTAGGGGGGAAATCTTCCCTGTTCAAAATGGCTAAAGGTCCCTTTCTGTGCACTGAACATGAGCAGACTTGTAAGTGAAAACATTTATAGGAACAATTTATTTTACAGCTTCCATAGTTGGTTAAAATGTCCAATAAGGCAGATATTCTACTGTAAACTCTTTGAAAGGTTCCTGGAAATAACTGTCTTTGTCATTTGGTAATAATGATAGGAACATGTGTAGTAACGGCGATCCCTCAAAAGAAACACAAACTTATCTAAAGCCTGTTTTGGATGGAAAGTCACAAACATACCAAAACATAAATCAGTAAGCAGACGAGGACACGTTTCGATAACCTAAACAAAATGTTAAAACTCATTTCCCAAAAGTCACTGGTTCTGGCTACAGAAACATATTTGCTGGTGTTCTTCGTCTTGTACGGTAGAAATCTTTGGGTTTTTAATCAATTGAAAAAACAGATTAGTGAAGATTGAACTCTTACCTGCTGGTGGAGAAACTAAAGATAATAACTGAACATTAGCTCAAAAGGGCAATTAGATTTATCTTCCAGTTTGAACAGAATAGTCTTTCAAGGGAAAAGAAAGACAACTAAAAACAAGTTTGTCACACTATAGTTCATATGAAATTGTTCTTTTAAGGACGTTTCTTAGGCGATTATGCGACCGTTACAATAAATTGTCAGCACAAAGCTGATCTGTAGGAACCCACAAAAGCATCCATTAAACAGGAAGGACCCCACATCGTCTCTTCAGACTCTTAGAAAAGGTTAGATCTCGACAGCGACTCCCAAACACTAAAGAGAAAACAGCAAGATATCTGATTTCAGCTTTTTTAATGCCGGCAAAATGTAATTGTAAAATGAGCCTAGCTTTCTTTTTTCTTTATTAAATAACCATTTTACAAGTCTGAAATGTAGGATGTTTCATTTAAAAACTTGATTGAAATGTTCCTATTAGTGTCAACAAGGCACAGTTCTTTAAATGTTGGGCTATTTTATAATAACAAGACTATTTGTGCTCTTTAGGGAGGTAGAAGGCCACAAAGGCACACTGACTAAATGCTTTTCATTTATTAAACACTAAGCTGAACGGTTCAAATGTCACAAAACAACAAATAAGTAGGAAGGAAAGAATAATATTATTTGTTGTAACTATGACTGATGGAGTGAGTAAAAACGGAAGGTCCGAACATGAGGCGGCCATCTTTTAAAATCATCCCTTCACAGAGTTGATAGCTTATAAATGTAGCCGAGTGAGTCCTAAGTGTGCAGTAGAGCAGAAGGGAGTTTAAAAAGCAGCACGACAAGATTAAGAAACTGAATGAAATCACAGGGTTCTTCTTTGGAGCTCAGGACAATCAGCTCTTTCACAACATTCATAGTGGAAGGTCAGCTATACAGGTGTGGAGAGCACAAACACGACATCTGGTTCCCACGGCAACTTAATGGAGTGATTAAGGAGCGAGCAGCTGAACGATTGCACTTCATGTTCATTCACACACGAGTCCTGTTTCAGGGGGAAAACGTCAAGTTAAACACAATCCGCAGTTTGGGTGAGGACGGAGAGCCGGCCCCGCTCAGTTCAGCGGGAGATGACGGAGCTGATGGAGTTGTACGACGTGCCGCCGTTGCAGATGGGGGGGTAGCCGTTGGCCAGCGCTTCCATGTTGACCCTGAAAACAGGAGAAGCTTTGAGCAGGAAGTCGGCGACATCCCTGCGGCCGAGCTCCCTCAGTTTGGCCATCAGCACGCCCACTGTGCTGTCCGCTCGCCCGCTCCACTCCTGCAGCAGCGCCGCCGTCGGGCTGGGCTGCAGCAAGGCCTGCTGGGAGTCCTGCTCCGAGTCTAGCTCAGAGGCGCCATTGGGAGTCCCGTTGCTGTGTTTGGCCACCAACTCTGTGAGGCCGAGGTTCATGGCCAGCAGGCACCAGTCTTTCCCCAGAGCGTCAGGAGGGTCCAGCATGCGGCAGAGCTTCCTGCGGGCCAGCAGGGGGACGTCTGATATGTGGATGTCTGTTCCCAGAGTCCCCTGCTGGTAGACCTCAGCGCAGCCGAAAGACAGGATGCTGCTGAAGCTCTCTCGGTAGCCGCCCATAGTGTTGGTGAGCGAGGACTCCCGCTGGACTTGTGCACGGAGGAAATCTTTGGGTTGGTAGATCATCATGGGGGCGTGGTGCTCCCGCAGCTGCTGAGGACTCAGGTAGTATTTGGCTGTGAGCAGTCCGGGGAGCGTGGAGGCCAGCAGGTTCTCCGTTATACTACAGGCGGTGTCCAACAGGGTGTAGCACTTGGCCCGCTCAGACTCGTGCCCACGCACCTGAATCTCCACCCCCTGGCCGTGGTTGACCAGCAGGATCATGGCCTCCACTCCTCCCTGGCTCACCTTGGCTCCGTTGGTCCACAGGTGGATATCGCCGTCTAAATTCTCCCCCCCCTCCTCCTCGGGCTTCTGCTGGTGGCTCCAGCGACACAGGTTCACCTGCAGTTTGTGAAACAGGCCACAGGGGAAGGGGGTGAGGTGCTCCGCAGGGACGAGACGCACGCCGCCGTAAATCAGCGACTCCTCCTCCTCCTCTTCTTCGGTCCAGGAGCGGTGGAGGCCGTTGGTCTTGATGAGAGCGGGAACGTCCACCATGGCGGGGTTGGTGGCGTCGCGGGCGCACACGTCCATGGCGTCCAGGATCTGCAGCAGCTCGTCCACGTCGCTCTCAGGAGCCAGAGCCTGCACCTCCTCCAGCCTGTAGCGCCCCCTGTAGTGGTGGATGGCCTTGGGCGTCTCGATGGAGAGAAGCTTGCCGATGACGTGGCTGCAGAGCCAACGAGGCTCCAGCAGGACCACATCCTGCACCGTCTCACTCTGCATGATGTTGATCTGTGGGAGGAGGGCATGAAGGGGAGAGGAAATGTATTAGAAAGTCATCACAGTTGTGGAAGAGATAGTTAAATGTTAAATGTAAACATTTTTGCACGTTTTTGTGTTTCTCTTATTTTCCTACGATACTGTTATGATTGGTTGTGAATAAGAAAATATGAAGGACAGACAATTTATTTCTATTTTTTTTTTTTCTTTGAGAAAGGGGCAGGTAGTATAAGATTATTTTCTTCTCCCTGCTCCTTTTCGGGTATGGTGTGTTTATAGAGACATGTTTTGTAAATAATTGTTATACATTAAGTTGTGCATACCATGAACGGAATAAATACAAATGAAATGTTAGTGAAACAAATCGATAAAGATAGAAAAAATTGAAATACGAATACCTAGTATATATATAGAAACATTGTTTGAGCCTCAGTACATCATTAGGTAAATAAACATGTGGCCCCTGCAGAGTAATTGTTTACACATGAAAACAAAGCATTGGGACTTATTTATTCATAAACAAACAGCGCACCCTGATGGTGGTCTGGTGAAAGGACAGTCAGCTGCTGGAGATGAGATGTATTGTAAAAGCACCTTTGATTTCATCTCACAACTACCATCAAACACAGCGTTTTAAAACTATATTAATAAGATGACTGGATAAAACATTTCCTTTATCATGCTCATTGCAACACATTTTTTAAGTTTCATTTCGGTTGTGAACTCACAAGTGGATAACAGTCCCATCTTAATAAATCATTGTTATTTGTAGTTATTTATATCAATAACAACAATAGATATGTGTTTTATCCTTACCAAAAAGAGATTCCAATAAAAAAAGGTTTTTGTTTTCTAATGTCATTTGAACAAGTAGGGTTATTGTTGTTTCATTTGTTAGCTCTGAACATGAAAACGTTGTTGGTTTTTAGAACCCTAACCCTTGACATGTCTTCTCCCTGTTGCTACCTACAGTGCATCTTTCTTCTAAACTGATAAACTCCACGCACCTCCCCCATGCTGTGCAGCTGCATGGCCAGCGTGCGGAGGTGATCCTGGCTGACCAGAGGGTTGATGTGCTCCTGCACGTCGCTGACAAACTGTTGCCATGACGTCAGCTGGTTGGGACCACTCAGCTTCCTCCAGGTCGGCAGGGTGGCGAGCAGCCGCTCCGACAGCAGCGTCATGGGACTACAGCTCTGTAGAGACGGAGAAGGGAGGTGAATAAAGCTTTCCTTCAGATATTAACCAACAACAACAACAACAAGGATCCTCCCACATAGATAGTGGGCTGTAGAAAATACTTTTGTATTTTGGTGCTGTATGTTTATTACTGATACAAATAATCTGATGATAGGGTGGGAAAGTATTTGGCTACCTTAGACTTACAATGCATTTTTTAAAACAAGATCATCATTATCAGATCTCTAACCGCCTGCTACAAAAAAAAGAAGAAAGCTTTGATGTATTTAATTTAAGGATGGACTTGATGCTTTATTAATAATAATTGAGTCTCTTTCCAATAAAGATTTGAATGCTGAGTCATATTTAATGGAAACATAATAATAAGATTGTCTTGTGAATTAATTGAAGTGGGAGAGCACATGGTTTTTTTAGCGCAGTGAAGATTGTGTTCTCAAAAGGCTTAACATGGTTACAAGGTATGGAAATGAAAGATTTGATTGACTAGGATATGATGAACCTATGAAGTGCATGGTACTTTATCTGGGTCATTTTACAGAAGGAATTGTCCAAAGTACGAAGATATATTGTTAATAGCTGGCAGAAACGCGATCACTAAAAAATGGTGCAAGGTGGAACCTCCTACTCAGGAACAATGCAAAGAGATGGCAGAGCAAATCAATATGATGGAAAGACTGACAGACTGAGACTGCAAGAATCATTTGAAGGAAAATGGAAGGAATTGACAATAATTAGGAATCAAACAAGCGACAAGGATTACTAACTGACTTTCTAAGAGGGACAGTCTAACTCAGTGGTTCTCAAATGGGGGTACGCGGACCCCTAGGGGTACGTTGGAGTACTGCAGGGGGTACGTGAGATTTATTTTATGTTAATGAACAAAAACGACATAAGTAATGCATTCAAACAAACTACTAATAGTAGATGAACTACTTTATTCAAAGGTTTACAGTAATTCTGGATAATAAAATGGGAAAAATAAACGGGGTGCTCTCTTTTCCTCTCCCTCTCCTGACAGCCCGTCAGTCTCGTGCAGCTCGCTGAACCTGTAATAAGTGACCCGACAGTAAATAATAAATATATGTATAACTAGTTTAGCTAGTTCCAGAGTAGATGAAATAGCTAAGTGTGGTAGGTCTAACTCTTAGTGTATTTTGCTCCACTCAACAGTCTGTCATGCAGAGCTGCGTGTTCTCCGTCAGCAGCAGCTGATCTGCTCTCCGATCTCTCTCTCGCGTCCGGTTAGACTTTACTCGCGTTTATGTCCAAATCTATCAGATCTAGCTAGTTCTAGTTAATGATATGACTGCCTGCTTATCAAAGGACAAAAACAATAAGTATTGCTTGGCAACGGCTGCAAAGTATAGCGCAGCATTATGCATATGTTTATATGAGGGGTCAAAATCCCATGCTCATAAAATGCTCATATCTTTTTCTCTTCATTCGCCACGCCCCAAAATAAATAAATATAAAAATGTTAGGAAAAGTAACAGAGTTAGAGCAGTGTGGGTTTTATATTAACAGCCTACACATATTTCAAAACGTGAAGTGTAATAACTGCAGTTTTGCCTCGCTGTCAGAATGACAAAGATCCTCAGTGAAGCACAAGCCCATGATTCACTACATTGTAAGTACAACTTATTAAAAAGATCAGTTTAATGCAACTAATGTCGTCTTAGTGTTATTGCATGATGTTAATTAGAATTTAGTGATGGATTGTAAACATTTTAAATGTAGCATTTAAGTGTTTCTCAGTTTAATAAATCAGACACCGATGGTGCAGCGCTGTACTGTACCTCTTTATATAGGCATTTCTTCCCTAACAAATTGTTTTTGCGCTGATCAGGGGGTACATTATTGGAAAAAGTTTGAGAACCACTGGTCTAACTAACTGATGAATGGGAATGTGTCTTCCAAATGCATTCGGTTTTTTTGTAAGAATGATTGTATTTGTATAAATGGCTGTAGTGTCTTTCCTTTTGTTGGCATGTACATGTACAATGCTGTTTGGACTTGTTATTGTTTGAAAACCCTTTCATCAACTCTTAGCCCAACATCCTGTTGTGCTTTGATGGAAATACTGTCTCTTTTAGATCCTTCATTATAACAGATGAGATAAAGGTAAGTGGTTTAAAATACACAAACATATGAAATGTTTGCTCACAGAGATGATGCTGGCACGGAGCTCCTGCAGGTGAATCCTCAGCAGCTTCACGTCTTTGGAGTTTGAGGCCCCGGCGTCCATCACAAACAGTTGCTCACTGATCTCCATGTCCACCCCAAATCTGAAGAAACAAAACCACAACCACCATTTCAAATCTTTTTACAGCAGTACTGAGATAAAGGTGGGGAACAGTCAAGTAATACACCTGACATTATTACATCATGTTTTTTATGATAGCGGCATTCAAGTTATTTATGGAGGTAGATTTGTCTGAATATTATTTGAGAACAGATTGAGAATCTGTGTGTAAATGTTATTAGCTGTAAATGTAAAACACCTTCCACAAATGCATACATTCTTTTTTAACTAAAAATGTTGTGCAAATGTACCCAGATCGAACACAAATCTGTGAATTAATGAAGTTGATATACGTGTGAATATCTTTCTAACATTTACTACCTTCGATCCGGCCTTTGTGAATCCAGTTTGTGTTTGTAAAAGGGAAATGCATTTGTTGATCTTAATTCTAAGTTTGTAGATTTGCATTTCGACACAAACTTTCTGCAGGTCCGAAAGAAATCTACATTTGTCTCTCGGCCATTTTCAAATAGCAGATAATGGCTTACAAGGTTACCCCGTTTCAACGTAAAAACGTAAGCATGCAGTGCGGTTACTGCTGTTTTTTGTATATACACTACATTGGCATTGCGTGCTGTGGTCTGAGCCCCCACCTGTTCCTGACTTCCTTGACCAGAGCTTTCTCCTTGTCGTAGGTGAACTCTCCGGAGATCGCTCTGGGGACGTCTGCGAGGTCGGCGTGCGTCGCCACGAGAACGACTGCAAGAGGCTGCTGGGTCCGACCTCCGAAAGCTGCAGAAAGAACATTTCACATTTTAGTCAATAACTGTATGAACCAAACACTAGACAATCTGACAGCAGGTTCAGCAGCCAAACATTCGTTCAAGTACTGCACTGAATCATTTTGTAATTGAAAGCATTACTACATTTTTGAAGCAAACATTGTACTTTTCACCCCACTACATTTATGTGAGAACTTTGCAGATTAAAAACACAAAATAGAATCAGCAAATACAATTTATTGTAGGTAAATATAAGGTAAAACTTAATTTATCCTCAGTGGGAAAGTAAATACATTTTTATAATTACCTCCATCATGACCAGGCGCAAGTGTTTTACACATTACTACATCAATAGTTATAATCCAGTTGTTTTTTAAATATACTTTATTCTCAAGTGGGCAAAGACAGCAATCTGTTAATGAAATTACACTTAAAGCACTAATGAGTGTTTTGCTCAAGTTAGTTTTAGCTCACTTTGCACTACTTGCGTAGCCTCTGCTTAAATCTGGTTTCAAATCTTGCGTCTAAATTGTGGAGAGCAATTTGTGGATCTATGTTAGGGTAAATATGATCTATTTTAAAATGTAGTTTTGATGATGGGACGAATAAAGGATTCCTGATATTCACCGATGTTGTCCTGCGGCAGGCTGAGGGCTTTGAGCAGGTTCAGCCAGTAGGTGATGTGTCCCAGCTGGGTCTCGTACGGCTCCTCCAGAGAGAACAGGACCAGGTGGATCGCCGTGGCGTCGTTGGCAGCAAAGTAGTCGTAGGAGCAGTAATAAACCGGGTTCCCCGAAAACTCCCACACACTGAACTCCCCCACACCTACAGAGAGGGAAATAAGAGATGTGAGCAGCATGTTTATAAAGTTCACTTTTCATCGGGACTTTAGCAGGACTCCTGCTTACCTCGTTCAATACAGCAAGCAAAGGTTATTTGATTTGGAAAATGTACATTTGATACCACCTGTAAAAGTACACGTGTAAAAATGTTAAGAACTTCCGCCTATTTGCGTAGTTTTTACTTCACTACATGTCAGAGGTTAATATTGTATGCCACTACATATTTTTACTTACAGGATGTCACATTTTCAATGCAGGACTTTAACTTATTGTGGAATATTTGTAAATGTTTACTCCCTCCACTGCTGGTTCTCACCGTGGATGTTGCTGTACTGGATGTCGATGGCCTTTGTAGCTTGGTCGTCAGCTGTGGACAGAGCGTTGTGGACCGGGGAGAACACCTCCAGGACCCCTTTGGTCAGGCTGGGCTCGAACATCATGCTGCGACTCCGCACGCTCACATTCTCACAGCCCGGGTACAGGTTGGAAATGCTCACCGACACTGAACAGAGGAAGAGGGAAATAACGTGTTGACGGCCTGTCAGATTTAGAGAACTTGAAAATCAAGATGTAATTGGCCTTTAAAAACGGACTTGATGCATTACACATTCAAAGAATACATTTGTTTCCGTTTGTCTGTGCCATTTTGCGAAGATGATTTGAAAAATGTACAAACAGATGGTAAAAAAACAAAACTGTTCATCTGCTGTTTCAATGGATACATTTTGTATCTCATTTTAGATTATATCTTGGTGACATTCAATACAGGTAAATACAAAACGATTTAAATATTTTAAAATGTCTTAAAGGGGCCCTATTATGCTTTTATGGTTTATTATAACCCCGGCCCTTAGCCTATTATGTACAATGTGTTGGAGACGAGTGTTACATAGTAATGTCACTATGTTATTGAAGTAATCAAAGGGGGACGTTTAAGGCAGGAGGGCAGGGTGTGTGGGAGAAAAACTCTTTTATTTTTAGATATTTCAGATAATTATTATCTGTCGAAAAAATGTCTTCATGAATTTTGCTCTCTACTATGATGAAAAGTGATCTGCATCCACTACTGTCAATTTGCAAACACACGGGGGTGCTGTTTACTTGCGAATGAATTCAAGATGCAGGGAACACATTGGGATTTACTTCACGCTCTGTAGGGCCACACCTACAGTTTGTTGTCTATGGCTTTAAACTACAAATCAAAAACGTCTTTTTGGGTATACTCATACAGTTTTATAACCTGACACCATACAAAGTTAATCCTGTTGGTAGTCAAAAGATTTCCAACCATGAGGAGCTGCAGCAGCTGGATTTCGACATCAGTGTGTGGTCTCTTGCTAAATCAGGTTGAGGGGACAGTATATGTTCATGTTAAGGTCTTGTGAAATTCATAGCACTATTGCCTTGGTCACATGACAAAAACAAACAAAAGGAACGCCCAAAAAAGGGAAAAATAAGAAGGCAACGGAAAAGGGTGACTTTTTTTGCAGTACATGAAAAATGGACAGGATCCTAAATTGGTTTTCTGGTTTAATGTCAGGCCGCATTAATAAGAACATCTGTCGTAGGTTTGGACTTCAGGGATGCAAAGGTGCACATATGTCAACACCTCTTTTCATGACAGGACTGAGTGTCTTACAAGAAAGGTTGATAAATAAGAACATCAAGCTGCGTTCACAGTTCTTCTGTCCAGATAATGAATAAAAGTGCCTCTCAAATACCAAAGGCCAGCGATTGATGCAGAGTGCAGAATAGTTTCAGATGTCAAGGGAAGTTTTCTGTCCAGTGGCATCATAAATGTACAGATATTGATACTAGACGAAGGTAAATATGCATTCATTGGTCACATCTAGACTTTCGACAGGCTGACAGCGACACAAAATGCAAGTTGTTCTACACCAATTCAGCCACTGGTTCGCTTCTCAGCTCTGTGTTTCACTGTGGACTCTCGTCACAGACCGCTGAAGAGTCAATAAAGACCGTCACGCAGTTCAGCTAGAATTCAAAGAACGGGATAAAACGCGCTCTTTCAACCCCAGATTTCCAGATAGTATAGACGAAGAGATGGGTAACACTACACTGGCTCACGTAGCATTACCTCAGTGAGCATCAAGTGTGTATGTGTGTGGGTGTGTGTGTGTGTGTGAGGGAGGGAGGGGCAGATAGAGTGCAGATACAGAGGGATTGAAACAAAGCAAGTGCAAGTGTGTGTGTTTTGTGGACGGCACTAAAGGAGGACACACATCCATTGAAAACACTTTTCTAAAGAGAAGGAGCAGTAAAGAAGTTTCTTCTTTAAGAATACAGTCAGTGTTATTCGAGTAAAGGGGATGATGGTGGGTTAGATTCCACTGTGTGCAGATAATTAGTGCTTTCATTTTGATGTGTGAACGGTTGTCTGCGATGAAAGTTTTTTTAATGTGTCTTGTTTTGAATATAAACTACAACCAGGTGCTTGCTTTGTTTCACTTTCAGACCATCCATCTTCATGCTCCTGGGGCAGATCCTTGAAAGGGGGGAGGAGTGTTATTGACTTGTTTCCACTCACTCTTCTTTCTTTTTGATACTCACCAAAGTCAGACATATTAAACACAAATCCTACACATACAGCTTATACACAGGCACAGACAGGCAGCAGATACATGATCAAAATACTGTGCAGCAGACAGATATTCTTGTGTTCTGATTTCTGCAAACGCTTTGGGATGTATCCAATCATTCAGACAATTTGAAAAATGATTGTAAATCACTCAAAATACAAATATTTATCCGTATTCATCTGGAAAAGGCAAGACTTGATTGACCTGAATGTTGTTGATTGATGTGACCGCTGCAGCAACAGCACTGCAAACCTGGCTCATACCGTTTGTTCTTCTTTTTTTTCACAATCAAAAGGAATTCTGGGCATTTGTTTTTGGTACCCTTCCTAAAAATGTAGGGATTTAATTGAAGTCCTGCATCTATATTCTACTGTTTGGGCTTCCAGGAGACCTTGACACTTTGACTGCCAAACAAGCTGGTATAGTGGAAAATGCATCTTTATTAGCTCGTCGCAGAATCTTACTAGGTTGCAAATCCCCTAAGGTCCTCTATTTGGCTTAAGGACCTGGTATTCCTTATCAAACTTGAGAAGATAAAATGTACTCTTCAGTGCTATGTAGACCAGTTCTATAAGTAATATAAGTGCAGAAAAATGAGTAATGTTTATATATTTTAAACTTTTTTTTTTTTTTATTCACCTTTTTTTATATTTGTATTTACTTATTTGTTTTTAATTTGATTTATTTATGTATTTTGTTTTCTTTTTCAGTATGGAATACATGTGCTTCCTTGATTAAACTTGTATCTCTATGGTTTTTAAAATAAATGGTGGGAGGGGATGAGTGGGAGTTAAGGGGTGGGGGTGAGATACAAATAAATACATAAATAAATAAATAAATAAATAAACATGACATCTTATCAGCCAGGGTTATACATTCAATTATTAGAAACAAATATTTGTTTGGGTGGTCACCTACCGGCAGGTTTGGAGTGGACCGGGGAGTTTGGGTGGCGGTTTGTATTGGTCATGCGTGTCCTCTTCCTCCTGAAGAAGCTGCGCAGGATGCCACATTTCAGAGACTCCAACAGAGTGCTCTTCCCGGCTCCGGAGTTTCCGAACAGCTTCAGCTTGATCCTGGGCTGCACGGTCTGAGTGGGCCGCAGCTGCTGGATGTAGCTTAGCTTGTGGTTGTCCTGACCCCCAAATAAGAAGAAAAGAGATCATTTAAAACCCACTGACATTTGAGGTCACATTAAGAAACACATGATCTACTGTATGACATGGACTCCCACATGTTTTCATGTCAAGCAGCTCCACACATCTTCAATGTATCCCCTTTTGTTCCACATAGTGTACTGTAGCATGATCAAGGTTTTACTTGATACTACAGACTTTTATGTAATTTGGAGACAGTCAGTCAATCCAATATACAACTCTGAAGAAAATGAAGAGACCACTCCAATTTGTTCTTAAATCTCAATCTCTACATGTATGGCAGCCATTCCAGTGTCTGTTGAATTCCAACACAGAGAAATGTTGTCAGTAGTTTATAGAAGACGCTTTTTTATTTATTTAACTCAAACACATACCTATAAACAGTAAAACCAGAGAAACTAATAATGGGCATAGAGGAACAACAACTGTGTGGGAGAGAAACTCCCTCTGGAGGGAACTTTGGGATTTTAGCCTTTGCAGACCATTTACATGCACAAAAACACATAACACACTACAGGAAAGAGAAACCCCAAAAAACATAATAGGAACCCTTTAAAATGTAATTGAACCATAACCCTGTACATGACATAGACAAATAAAACAGCACACATAGGGGGATCTGTCCGTTGTTTGTTATGCTCGTCACATAGCTGAAATGCAACAGTAACATAAGGTAAGTGCAAATCATCCACAGCGATGTATCTATTTTTCTACTTTGAATAACACTCCCTTTTGGGGTCGATCCTCTTAAATAGCATTCGGATCAGAACACTAATCTAAGTTTATCCGTGTCAAAAAATAAAACGCACTGTATATAAACAACGCAAGCTATTTTCTGTAATTCTGCCAATTCAACAGATAATATTTGTTAAAATGAAAGACACTTCTTTTTACCCATGCAATAGATGAGTCATATATCAGAAGTGGCCTCGAAAAGTGCGAGTGATAGCGTGGGATATGAAAAGCACTGCCTACTCCCAACTGGGTCGTGCTAACACATTCAATAAATAAAGTTTGAATTTGTGTCACAGGAAGAGAACAGTCTTTTCTTTTTCCTCCCTTGGTTCTTGGGAAGTGAAAATTGGCTCTAAAGCGCCAAAGTGTCTTAATTTAGCCGAGCATATGCACAGGCTGACTTTTTCACAGTTGCTGCTGTCACATTTTCACACAGCAAATCTTCGCAGGTTTTCTGGGAAAATGGAAGGGAATGTTTGGCTTTAACAAACAAATTGAACTGGTGCAAACAGATAGGGCTTGAGTTCAGTTGCTGACTTTTATAAATATGATATTCCTCTGCGCTTCCCCAAGTGCTCTTCTGAAAGTCTCGAGCAGAATGTCAATCACACCTCGTGATCAAAGTGTCTAGCCAGAACAGATCAAATATGAATCAACAATCACTTATTGTATTGCCTATCTCTTGCCTCAAATGTTTGCTGTATAGCTGTAACATGAATATAACCAGGGCTGCACATAACTGGTGCGCAGGTGCGCATGCGCACCCGCCGCGAAAAGAGGAGCACCGGATCATTTGAAAAAAGGCGCATTTGCACACCAACATTGAGAGAGAGAGAGATATTTGCGAGTTGCATATGAACGGGTAAGATAGCAGGGTTTCCCACACATAGACTTTACCTGGGCGGGCCACCCAGGTATATTAACGGCCGCCAAAGTATAATTCGTAAGCCGTTTAGGTTTGATTTTTTTAATCCGTCCGCGAGCAAGACGGGATCTGTCGATCCCTCGCTCTACCCCCTCGCTATCGTGTGAAGGGTCTGCTTTATGCACTCCGCACAGTAACCCTGCTGCGAGGCTCCGGTGAACAGTCCATGAGCGTGCTCACTAGCGCAACTCCCCCCCCCCCCCGTTTATAAAGTCAAGTACCCCTCAAAAGGTCCGGTTTATTTCATTTTAAGGATGCGCACCAAGCAACATCTCCAGGTGCTCCATTGAGAACCAGGGCAAAAAGGTTGTGTGCACCCCTGATATAACCATAAATATAGCCATAGGAAATCTCACTTGAGTTTAACACTAGAATATTTCCAAAAACACAATTTCTATTGGGGTCTCAGGACTGACTACATTAGAATCAATCAACATCACTGGTATCTGATTATTTAAAATTAGAAACCGGTTTCATACTGTTTTATTTTATAATCTATTCTACCCGCTTGTGTTGGGAAAAGTGCTGCTACAAAATGTCTACAAATGGGACGATGCTAGAGTCTGGCACCCCCCTGTTGCAGATGTCGCTGCACTGGTACACAAAAAGAGTGGCGAGTGTTTGTGAAACTGGGTTTTGAATCATACAGAGTTCTCTCTCCCCCCCCATAACATTTAAAGAATACATCTTATATTACCTTTTTAAGCTTTCCCAATAGAGAAACGATGAGTTCATGTTGGTCAGCATGAGCCAAATCCTCTGCTGTCTTTCCATCCTGAGAGAAAAAAAGAAAACGGGATTAACATAGGCACTAGAAATGTTGTGCAACAGATAATCCCTCACATTTTGTTTTTGATGACATTTCACTTAAGAAGCCTACAAAAGGCAGCACTTATATACAGCCACTAACAATATAGATTAAAAATGATGGATACAAAATGTAATTCCATACATTCTTCAACGTGTCGTCACTTGGCGGCTACACTCCCCACAATGCATCTCAACAGCTTTGGTAATCGTTTCTGATGTGTTATGCTAGTAGCAGCTCATTTAGCCTCAAGAGGAGTTTAAAAAAAGTTCCGGTCAATTAAAGTGACAGATAGATAAACTAGCCAACCAGCTAACGAAATCAACGGTTAGATGTTGCTGCTCTTAACAACGTACTGCGAAGAGTTGCCTGGGATGTTTTCAATGGAAAGTTGATTTCATAATGACTATGACTCGGATTCAAGTTACGGTTTCTCTAGAGATACAAAAAACTGATACATCATTTTAGCCATATAAACGGAATTGACTTTGCTCAGTTAAAGTTGAAACAATTGTGGAGTTGATCTTAAGCCTTGACAATTGATTGCAGTAGTGACACACACATACTCACACTCACAATATGTGCATACTTTCATTCTCTCCATCCAGCTCCACAACTGCCCTAACCTGTTACTCTCGCTCCATTTTCCCCTCCTCACACTGACAGAAACAGCACTTTCTCTGTGGGTTTCACGTCTCTTTCAGTCACACGGCCATCTGTCACTGTCCGGCTCTGGCTGCGGCTCCACAGGGGCAAACGGCACCGACAGCCTGAGACGCCCACAGAGCGCTGCAGACCGCTGACAATGTTCAACTGAGTTTCTTATGAAAATCATTACTGATTGTTTTATCTAGAAAAAAAACTATAAAGAATACTCGCTGAAGACATTCTCTAGATTGACTTCTTCCAAGTCTTAGGATTTCTTAGCCTCTTTCCTCTCCGAAAAGGTCACCTAATATTAGATGTACTTTTATGATCCCAAAATGGGAAATTGTTTTGATACTAGCAGCATGTAAACAAGGCATTGCAAAAAGAGTTACAAATAAAATCGAAAATAAACAGTTCATAAACACTAGACATCAATAGTATCACTATCAAATGCACACAATAAAATGGACATAATATGTTAGTATGCACTATAATTGACCAACCAACTGCTAAATTAATATAAACACAAGCTACTCTTTGAAGTTGCAGTTTTAAATCACAATTTAAAGTACAGTGCGAGTCAAATATGTAGAAATGAATAATCTAGGGTTATCCCATGAGGAAAACAGAGTGGAGTCCAGTTAAAAAACAAAAAGAAGCCTGGAGTTAGCCAGAGGTGAGGTGTTTTACACAATGATGGCTAATAGTATGAGAACACTGACCTATATTTTGTTCGGGTCAGGTACATGTCAGCAATGGGAATGTAAATGAAGTGCAGCTTTAACCCATAGTTGATCACTTTGTGAGATAAACGTGAGAACATTCACAAGACCCACTCTTACAGATGGCAGGGTGTTACGACTATAACTAGCGCTGCTTGGCGAGAGGCAGATGATGTGACCGGCTGGTGTTATGCTGGCCACAATATGAATATCTAAATATGATATCATCTTTAATATCCCTGCTTTATAATATCTATCCTCTAAAAGTGTTTAGCTGATTTATAATAAGCCAGAACAACAGAGGAAGAAGAGAGGAATGATGACATAAAAGAAAGCGTGCATAACAGGCCGAATATATAAAGTAATATAAATAAATATTATATATTGAATTAGACTTTTTGACTGGTTCTTTCAAGGAAATTGCCCTATAAATCAACAAGCACTTATAAACCTGAACAATTGTTTCAAAACGTTTCCGTTGAGCCTATAATTAATATCAATTCGTAATATTTTAGTAACATCTGAGGATATCATTGGGAAACCATGAGGGACATCAAACAGAGCTAGCCTTGTAATCTTTCAGTGAACAATGACACAAGTTAAGACAGAGGGATTGATACAAATGGAGCCTTGAGTGTACTCTATCCTCCCTCAGCCGCGCAACAACAAACGCTGCTGACCGCAGGGCCACTGGACCGTATGATGTCAGTATGTGCTTTTGCCAGATTTAACATGCATAGCACATCAGCTGTCATACAGTATTAAGCACTAGAGAATGCAGAGAGAGAGAGAGAGAAAAAACCCTGAGCGTTACATCTGACAGTGGAGCCAGATACGCATATTTATTTGCCAGATCAGAGTGAGATAAGACCGTCACCATAACCATAATAAAGCTGTTGAGAGACAAGGCAATCGTGTGTAGTTTCTGGTTTAGAAAATGTATTAAACAAAGAAATACAAAACGAAGATGTTATGGTGCGACTTTAAAACAGACACATTGGGTCGGAATATTTCATTTCTTTGGACCAATGATGAGGAAAGAAGTGTTTTGTCGACTTCTAGGGGCATTTAAGGCGAGGCTCAGGATTCAATAGTTTAAAGCAATTCCAGAATCAAAAGACTTTTAAGCTTTAATCCCAATGAGGTAGATATCTTAGAGAAGAAGAAAGTGCAGCTGAGAATCAGGGATTAAAGTCATGCTCTGCTGCTCAAGCAGGAAATGATATCTCCCCAACAAATAAGCAATTCTCTCAACACACAGAGAGTAACATTCTCTGTTTGTATACTGTCATGTATGTTGTTTTTCCATTTTGGAGGAAACATTATCAAATCTATCATGGTGGCAAATGCTCTCTACATGCTAATGCATCAGCTCCAAATATAAACTCAAAGTGGAGTAATTGACTTGTGAATGGGAAATTCACATAGTGTGTGTTATTCACACACACTATGGATTGCATTTTAAGAAATGTGGTTTGTAATTTGTTTAGGACTTTGAAAATCAAGCCTGCATGGAACGTTAATGTGGATAGATATTGACATACTTTCATGTGAGGTTTACAGTGTCAATCATTGATTCCAGACTCTGACTTTGAACATTGTCAGGACCTAACGTCACATCGCTACTCTCCTCAGATTACATTATAATAAACGGTTAAGATACTCATACTGTAAAGGGAAGGGAAACAGGGAAAAGCCTTAAGATGTGGGGCGACTTACGTTGGTCACGGCGTCAATGCTAGCTCCAGCAAGGCAGAGATGACGGACAACCTCAAGGCTCCCGTTGTTCGCCGCCAGGTGGAGGGGAGTTCTGCCATACTGGATGAAAAGGGAGAATGTCACAGGAGAGATTCAAAGGGGTCCTATTCTCAGGGTTCATACACTTTTTCACCAATGATTTTCAATGACTTCTCCATGACCTTTACCTGATTTTCCATGACCTAAAATAATAACTCTTTCTCAGCGTATCACTGAAAATGGTTTATTTTAACATGGAACAGGAAAATAAGGTCTAAATATGAAACATGTTGTGCCTATCTAAAACAAATCAAATAGTAGGCTTACTAGCTTCTACACGCTAAAGCAACTAAAATCTCTCACCAGCTAAATACCTCGACAGTTACATTTTACGTTTCATTACTATACGATACAGTATTTATTATCATTATAGTATTACTATTTCGGCGATTAGATAAAATATAAATTATATTTGATGCAACTTTAGTTACATTTCCATGACTTTTCCAAAACTTTGGGAAAAATATTGTTTTCCATAACTTTTCCAAGGCCTGGAATTAGCATTTTGAATTTCCATGACTTTTCCAGGTTTTGAATGACCGTAAGAACCCTGTATTATGCTTTTTGGGGTTTTTCCTTCCCCGTACTGTGTTATATGTTTTGGTGCATGTAAATGGTCTGCATAGGCTAAAATCCCAAAGTACCCTGAGTGAGTTTCCCACACTCCCCCCTAAAAAAACTATCAATTCCCAATAGAAAATAAGCTTGTTTGAATGCAGCGTTTCAATCAATACCCTCCTGTCACAACTTGACATTCAACAAGGCATTCATCCTGTTTTATTGTAAACAGAACAGGAGACATTTCCAATGCCACCCTTCTCATTTTTCTTCCCAGTGTCTGCAGCTGACAGTGAACACAAATCCAGGCACCAAGTCATCAATGTGTGATATGCTGCTTTAGACAAGCTTTAAAAAAAAAAAGCCTGAAAATGATGAATAAATCAGAACATCTCCTGGCAGTGCCGTCTGCTCTCGATGCACATCACTTCCCTGAACTATTCTGGGAAAGAAACTTTTCAGTATGCGGAAGGAAATGAGTGGGCTACCATTGTTGGAGAACAGCAATCCCATCGCAGAATACATTAAAATGGATGGCGCCAAAATAGAAAGTAAAAAAGGCAGACTTGTGTGGGAAGTCGTGCCTGGCAGAGATGGGAGCTAGATGGGATCTTCAGTCAAATATAGACTAGGTATGTACTGTAAGAGCTCCTTAAAAAACACTAGTGCACCAAAATAATGATAAATATCAGAATAAAACCCCTTTCCAGCTCAACATCCTGCTCACAGATGGTAAACCTGAGCTGAATTGCCTAGATTAAATCTAATTTAAAAGTAATATATTGAAGGGCAAATGTATGAGCCAAGATTTGATCACAAAGAAACAATCCTTATAGATTCTATTATTTATAGATTATAAATAAATAATTTTGGGACAAGGGGGTGAGATTAAATAAATGATACTTCTTCTCACTCCTTTTCGAACTCTAGAGAAACTCCCTCTGGAGGAAACTTTGGGATGTTAGCCTTTGCAGACCATTTACATGCAACACCTATACAATACACTAAAGGAAGGGGAAAACCCCCAAAAGAATAAAAAGGCCCCTTTAAAATATTTGCTTGTTTTACATCAAAACTCTAAACCTAAGTTATTCCCACCAAGTACATTTCTTCTGCTAAAATGAATGTTTCGTAATGTTATTACTTTGAGAGGTGGAAATCTCAAAACTTTGCTAGAAAACATTTTCTTCCTCAAATGTAAGTGAAATTACCCCTTTTTAAATGATATGTGGGTTATATTGGTGTGGTGGGCACTGGTTTGTCCTCACCTTATTGGGGAGGTCGAGGCCAGCTTTGGCGCTGCATATCGCCGTGACAACGGGCAGGTTCCCGTCCTTACATGCAATGTGCAGCGGCGTGTTGCCATGGCGATCCTGCTGGTCCAGGTGGCAGTGGTGTCTGAGGAGGCAGCGGACCACGTCAACCTGACACCTCCGTACGGCCAGGTGGAGCGCTGTGTGGCCGTCCTACACACACACACACACACACACACACACACACACACACACACACACACACACACACACACACACACACACACACACACACACACACACACACACACACACACACACACACACACACACACACACACACACACACACACACACCACACACACACACACACACACACACACACACACACACACACACACACACACACACACACACACACACACACACACACACACACACACACACACACACACACACACACACACACACACACACACACACACACACACACAGTAAATCCTCCAGACTCACAATATTAAATATGTTTGCCTTCAGACTCGTTAAACCAGGTTTAAGGCCCTTCCTTCTCACACAGGAAAGAGATCAACAGTACACAGGGTTACAGAGAACAAAGATTCCTAGCTAGAGTTGAACTGGGGATGTTGCAATGACATGGTCAGCGTGTCAGATCTGTGTGTCACCCAGATGTTCTGCCTTTTAACTCTAGGTTGGTAATGCTGTGGAGGCCGTATTGAGTTAGTATCATGGTCAAAGTACTATTGGTGTAGGTATCTACATTTAAGGGTTATGTACTTTTATTTATGATGTGGTATTTGTTATGTATTATTGGTGGTGGGCGTGCACTTGAGTTTGTGGTGGAGTAATTGGTTGTATAACCTGTCTGCTCTACATGCTCACTGTGTCTTTTTATAGAAACAGAGGGGGTGAGTCGGGAGGCAAAACCTTCCGTTGACTGCAAATGTATACCCCAATCCTGCAACAATTTTCCACTGCAATATCCTTAACCATCAATGGCATCCGTCATCACACTCAAAGTAGTTGGAAATCTGATATATTTGCTTGTTTTTTCCTGCAATAAATGGTCAAACGAAACGGAAGGAGTAAAGCACAGTTGGAGCAAGTCAAAGTGTTTATCTTCCTGTACTTAACACCTTGTGACCTTTTTTTTTAAATGTTGGACTGCCTAGAGCCGCAATAGTTTGTCTTTCATTGGTCCCGACCTGTCTTTTTGTTATTTGTTTTTCCCTTTGGAACACTATGTTTTCTTCTGGGACTTAATATGGTTATCTATTCATCTTTATTTGGGGTATAATTGAAAGAAGCAAATGGGAGGAGTCACTGAGATGGACTAAGGTATCGAAAAACCTGGATTCCTGACATGAAAAAGGTTCGCATTGCTATTAAAGCACAATAAGTTGGAGTTCTGATCACCTTGTCTGTCGCCCCTAGATCGGCCTTGTGCTCCACCAGGCACTCCACTATGTCTGCAAAGCCCCGAGCAGAGGCTGTCAGCAGCGGACTCTCCCCCTCGCGGTTCTTTGCGTCCACGTGGCAGCCTGCCTGGCAGAGAGCACGAGCAACTGGGGAGTATCCGTGCCACGAGGCGCAATGCAGCGGGGTCTCCTGCTCCTGGAAACGTAGAATGCAAAAGAATAAATGGTGCTCTGGTTGAAGAAAAGTCATTGTGTCATTTTGCTGTATGTGGAGATGTGCTTACCCGGTCAGAAAGGTCAGGGTTGGCTCGGATGGTGCACAGATAGCTCACCACATCCACGTTGCCATAGCGCGCCGCCACGTGAAGAGCAGTCTCCCCTGACTGGAGGACACAACAGAGAATTAACATCAGAAACACATCAGCAGTTATTGTGAATGTATGTCTCAGAGTAAGATGATCATGTTAACTACAACTGAGAATATGTGGAAAAGTACTTCCGAGAGGGGACTTTCAAGGATATGATGATTTTTCATGATAGTCAGCCACTTTTCCAAAAACTTCCACTCAAACAATGCATTTAGATTTTCCCTTCCTGAGTGCGCAGACATCAGACTTTGGAAATCGATCCATGAGCTTTAACATTATGGCTGCCGGTCAGAGGGGAAGCTTGCAGCAGAGAGGCTGCTTATGTGAAATGAAACCTAAGATGCCGAGTTGTAGATAGGAAAGTGAACAACTTCAAAAAGCATCTAACAGTGCTGAAGTCTTTTTGTAGGATGGATGCATGCTAACAAAAGCAATGGCATTTTCTGCATTTTGGAATATTGCAGAAAATAAGATCTGTCGCAAAGACACGCTTAATGATACTTATGCGTGATGACACAGCTAATGTTCGGCGTGATTACGTTTATTAATCTCATTTACTTGTTAGCAAACGGCGTTTTTTTAAGACTCAAAAGCTTTTGACATACACTAGTGGGGTATTTACTGAAGTATTTTATGTCGTAGAACAAAACGTGAAACAACTACAAATCTTATTTCAGGACTCCAGCTAAAAAACGCATTCAAAAAACTGTTGACTTAGAAAAAAGGGAACCGGATGTGGGAAAATGCTACAGCTAATTGGGGGATTTAATAAAAGCACAGAAGCTCCATTAGACGATTTCTTGGTCACACACATACACCTCAGCTTAAGGGGATAAAGTGTAATATGAAACTTTAAAGACCCTCTTCATCAGTGTTTGCAGAGAAAAGAAGACCCCACCGGTGGGAACAAATAATTAAATAATTAGTGGGAAGATGCTTTGAGGATTCCTAAGGATCTCTGTGATTGTGGCTACAAAGGCAAACACACACACAAAACCCATCTTTCTCAGCAAGACCTGTTTCTATAGCAACAGCAAATAAGCTGATAAAATGCCAGAGTAACTGGTTTTCTCCCCAGGTGCTTCTTGTGGTGAGTGTGAATTTTGTGTGTGTGTGTGTGTGTGTGTGTGAGTGAGTGAGTGAGTGAGTGAGTGAGTGAGTGAGTGAGTGAGTGAGTGAGTGAGTGTGTGTGTGTGTGTGTGTGTGTGTGTGTGTGTGTGTGTGTGTGTGTGTGCATTTCAGAGAATTAAAGTAATGCTTCTCAGGAGGTTTGATGGGTAGGAGTGTGTAAGTAATTGCTGATGGATAACAAGAGTGTGTTGAGTAGTAGTGAGAATGTATGTGTGTGTGTTTTGAGAGGGAGGAAGAATGGCACTTGATTCACCTTATCTTGGACATCCAGAGGACATTTCTTTTCATGGAGGAATTTCAGGGTCTCCACGTGGCCGTGTCTCGCTGCGTAGTAGATAGCGTTGGCTCCACTCTGAAGGTGAGAAAGAGGGAAGAGAACATTTCAGGATTTATCCCTGACCTTTACGAAGAAAATCCCGCTCCCCGGGAATCTGTCTGCAGCCCGATGATATGAACACACCCTTCTAAAATACTGCACAGCATGTTTTTCTGACAAAGAGCCATTTAAAGGATGAGTTAGCATCCTGCTTTCCCAGGAAAACTACCAGCCCTGCACTCTTAAACGTGTTGTTGTTTATTAGTGACTGTTGAAAATTAATTTGCACATACACACAACTTCTATCACATAAAAGAAGCATCATTTAAAAAAGAAACATATTCATATACATTTTGAGTTGTTGAATTTAATGTTTTTATAAGAGAAACATCTTTAGTTGCTGCCCCTCTGGTACTGTCACCAAAAACATTTCAATTACTAAGGTTGTTCTTTCATAATAACTAATAACAAGTATTAATAGTGTAGATAGCCCCCGTCATAATCAAAATGACAGTCTGTCACATTTTGTCTGCCTTCATTACTGCAGCTCTGACGCCTTTCATGGATGTCTATTAACCGTCTCCCCATGGGGCTGTCATAGCCTCACTGATTGGCCCTAACAGATTTCAGTCTTTACCTTGTCATTGGCCTGGATCTCTGCACCTTTCCTCATCAGCACCTCAATGATCTGGACGTTTCCACAGCCGGCGGCAATCAGAAGGGGAGGTGTCCCGTGCTGCAATGCAGACCCACACACATGTACTTTTGACTTTTCAGCAACCAAGATGTGTTTGTGTGTATTTGACGTCAGCTGAATGGAGCTGCATACTTACATCTGACAGCATAATTACACTCAATAGAATATGGGGAAATAGGCTGATTTTCTTTTTGCAGGGTCCTTAATATTTAGTATCGATGTGTTTTTAAAAAGTTGAAAACACAAGCTTAGGAAAACGATAAGGAGAAAGAAAATGGCAAGATGTAGATTTTCTGGCCTTTAAGCTAGGGCTGTAATGCTTCCATAATCTTCCAAATGTTAAGTCAAATGTCGATATGTATTGAAAAAAGATGCGTGTAATTATTTCCAAGTCTAGTTTTCTGCTTTAATCCATATTTGTTGGCGTTTAGCCTTTAAAAAAACAACACTGTCACTGCTAACGGAAGACTTGCCCGAACAAAGGGAGGGAAGCACCTGTAGCTTTAAATAAAGTCTCTCCTTATCTTTGACCGACTTACATGATCACAAGCTTCAAGAGCTTTCTAGCTTTTATGATCAGAAACACTCACATTCTCTCCCTAAAAAGAGGCCGTTACACTGGACTTCCTGACAAATAGAAAGACGCTCGCCCAATCAGCGACCTTAGTGACGACACTGAACTGAAGTCTGTGTGTGTGGGAAAGTGTACTATGCTGCATACTGTTATAGACATGGCTTTTCTTAATTTTTTTTCTTCCAAAATATAGATTTTCTGAGAATTGGAGGAAACAAAAAAATATTTCTCACTAATTAAAAAACAGGGTTGATAGTAAATCATTTCTATACAATATCTCTGTGAGAGTCACCTTGTTGGGCTGGTTGACGTCGTAACTGTTCAGGGAGCTGAGCAGATGCTGCAGGCCGGGCACGTTGTCGTCGTTTATGGCGTGGATGATGGCCTTCATCACAAAGGAGTCTTCCTCGTCCTAGAGTGGTGGGAAAGACAGTTACCGTTCTACTGTTCACAGGATGATGACCTAATCCTGCAAACATTAATCCTGTGAAGTCTTGCTATCACATGCTTCCCCCCTCCCTAAGTCTCTCTTTCATCTCCTTTTCATGCGTGAAGACACACGGAAACAAACTTTCATTTTGCATCTGCAGTTCAGGTTTGAAATATATATATATATATATATATCATGGTATTTCTTTATTCTGTTTGTGACATGTGACCCGATAACCTTCAGTTTGGTGGACACAGGAATCAGCTGTGACGCTCTGCTGCATAAAGAGGCGAGGAGGAGAAAGGCAGCGAGGTGAAGTGGAGGGAGGAGAGGAGGAGGCGAGGCTGATGTGGGGTCTGTTCTACCAAGCATGACAGTCCCGCTACATTCCTCGACATAACCTCCCTGCTGGGGGAGTCATGACTAAACCACCCGAGAGGGAAGCAGACATAACGCAGACACGTACGAGAGGCAAACTGCCTGCTGGGGATTAAATAGAACAGACTTGCTTTGTTGTCAATTCACCAGGAAATGAAAATAGCAATCCTGATGTTGCATTTACGCGTATCAAACAAGAAAAAACAAATGGACACGATAAACACTGAATAAAATATTTTCAAAAGCGAGATTTTCCATTTCTGTGTTGAATCAGTAAATAAATAAAAACAGGATTAAAAATGTATAAAATTGTAGTGCAGTTGGAGTGTGTCTGTATTCAGTTGCGTAAGGCTCGGGGGTAAAAGCTGTCTCTCTGTGATTTAAATTCCCTAAAACAAACAGATCAAACAGATGATGTCCAGGATGGGTCTTACATTTTTTTGGGTTACTTTGCTGAGGCAGTTTAGGGTGAACAGTTCCTCCAGAGAGGGCAGTGAGCAGACGATGGTCTTCTGGCCCGTGTGGAGGACCCTCTTAAGAGCTTTCCTATCCATCTCTGAGTAACTGACATACCATGTAGTGACACAATATGCCAGCACACTCTTGATTGAGAAGTTTTAAAAGGACATCTCCTGCACTTTGACTCAGGGAGGTGGAGTCCCTGCTGTAGCTTCTTAACTACGGTGGTGGTGTTAGTAGACCAGAAGAGATCCTCAGTAATGTGAGAACCCAGGAACCTGAAAGCTGGTTCCATTTCCACACAGTCCCTGTATAGTGTATCAATGCGGTTGTTTGGGGTTTCCACCTTCTGATAATTGCAATTCGTGATGCAAGATGGAGGGTTTTATAAACAAGTGATGCGTTCTATTTAGTAGGGAATGACCAAAGAAGCAAGATGTTCTTCTTCTAAGGAGAAGGGAAGGACATCCGGAAAATACAGATGTGGTCTCGGACAAATAAAGGAAATAGGGCTGGCATTCGGAATGAGTCATGAGTTATGTCCCTCAAAAAGTTATTTTTTTAAATGTTTTGTAAAAGGTCATTACACCTTATAAGCTTGCTACCTTAGCAGGATAACATCACAAAACATTCTCATAGCACCCAGTCATTACATTCTCTGTCAGTTTCTCTCGCTATTGTTTTGTCTTGCAAAGATAAGTCGATTGAAATAAACATATTTTATAATTCAGCCATAATAAATTGAGCAGTGGCGAGCCGTCAGGGCCCTCTAGGCCCTCTGTGAGGGCCTAAGATATTCTACAAAATAATATTTAAAAACATTAAAAAAAATTCAAAAAATTCCAAATATTTTTTTTGTTATATTTTTCATTAGTTTTAGCAAAATAACTTGATTTAATTGTATTTAAAATAACATTTCCAAAGAAATAAATCTGCCTATTCAGTTTCTGTTGGAATGTGAAGGGTTAAATGAAAGAAGCTCGTCTCTGCAAGTTACTGTGAAGAGAGGAGCTGTTGGACGTCCAGGCGGTCCAGCTATGAATTCACAGAGGGCCAGCTATAGTAACAGAACGAGAGAGTAATGTCAAATGACAGTACAATTGACCAATCATATCTTCCCTCTAAATGGGTGGGTGTTATTATCGCGGACTTTATGACAAGTTCCGCCCGCTGTGAAACTTTTCTTGTTTCCGTAGCAACAACAACTTCCTGTCAACAGCGTTAACTCGCCTTCAAAATAAAAGCATGTCAAATTACACTTAAGACATACAACTGCAACGAAAGTAACAAACACAATGCAATATCCTTTTCGATTTCAAAGAACACAAATAGGTTCGTTACAGGTGTTGTTTTGTGTGGTAGAGGGTCGCTTTCATTGATGCCTTTTGCACCCCGGGCCGTTGTTTTGATATTCCTCTGAAGTATACGCTGTAATAACTTGAGGGAAGGAGGGGGGGTCAGAGGGCCTAGGTATAAAAGTCATGGCTTGCCACTGAAATTGAGCCACAATAAAAAAAGAAGTAGCCACTTATCACCGATTTTGTTTTGAAATCATATCACATTTTTGCTCACCTACACTTTGACACATTTACACTAATAGCCTAAACAATGAATAATAAATTGTGTTATTGTCTTATTCTAATTTAGCTTTGTTTTTATTCTTTTTGTAATTAACATGTCAATTCACAATACGTTTATTTTTCACTATTTCTTGATGGTTTTAAAGTTCTTTGAATTGCCTTGTTGAAATGTTTATGAGTCGCTAACACAAACAAATTCTTAGTTGAAATCGTACAGAGTGCTACACTGCGCTGTTCTAAACCCACCTCTGAGTAGAGCCTTTAAGTAAAGCACTTAACCCTGGATCTGCTTAGCCAATACAGACAAAAGATCTTTTAGCAAGCTTGTACTGCTGCAGTTCTGTTAGAGGTCTACTGGGGGCGCTCACTTATACCTGTGCGTACTTGTGACATGAGGAAGTTGCTGCGTAATGCTTTGAGGAGGAGAGAGGCCTGGGCCTGCTTGTTAATGATTAAGCCTCTCTCAGTGTTTGCATCTCAACGAGTCGGTATCAATGTAAAGATACACACATAAAGCTCTCTATCACCATTTGTGTACAAAGCAAAACAAACCGCCTTGTACAGTCACACAAGTTTCCCTCTCACATTCCAATAAGCTCTACCAGGTTACGCAGACAGAGAAATTCCAACAATTCTACAAGCACCTGACCTGTGGGAAACGAGGAACAGATCAATTACATGTCGGGGCTCAAGATTCTCAGAGAGATTGTCGAGTTAGAAATACCAGAGCTGTAACTGAGAGCTCCGGGTCCTAATAGTAAAATGCACTTTAATAAAAGCAATGTGAAACTCATTTAGCTGGCAGTCTCCTGTAAATAATATAAATCAGAGGTTCCCAACCTGGGGGGCGCCAAAGATCGCAGAGGGGGCACCCAGGCCTCAGATGATTTGAGGCCAAATATCATATTTAGATCTTTTTTTTTTACATATAATTGTAAAGCAATACATGATTGTCACTAAAAGCCTTGTCTCTACATTACAATAAAAATTAAAAAAAAGATTAATTAATTTGAATAACAATTCAAGTTAGCAGCTATTAAAAGGCATAGACAGAAATGTTCTTTCTTTCTTTAATAGAAATGTTTCCTCTGCCGTAAAGTGTCCCAAACCAGGCTTGTCTGGATAAGCGCATTTTAAAAACATAGTCATTGTCCATGCCGGTTTCAGTTGGATTATTTGTCAGTTGCTCCGATCAGATCGGTCTCCTCCATTTTGTAGATTATTTACGACTTTTGAATCCACATAAACACATCGGCAAAATCCGGCTTACTTTGAGCATGTGTTTTAAACAGTTTAATCCCTTTGTGAATTGTTTCCACTTCCGCGCCGTCATTTAATTTCTTCATACAGCGGGAATCCAAATGAATTAATCCTGAGTCCAATAACCATCAAAGTCACTCCAATAGTGCTCCTTAATTACGCTTTCATCCTCCTTTAACAAAATACTTTACATTCATCCAGTTTGTGACAGTAGTTGTAGCATTTTTGAGACTTTTAAACTTTAATTACCGCTGTTGCTCCCCCCCCCGCCATTGTGTGTGTGTGGGGGGGGGCGCAACTTCCAACAGGAGTCATTTGGGGGGGATCTTGGGAAAGAAGGTTGGGAACCACTGATATAAATGAAAGGACAGGACTGCAGAGATGAAAGTGTTTCTGATGTAAGAGTTTTACAACATTTGAAGCATTTATGGTGTTAATTGCTGCAAACCTGATCAACCTAATGATCAAGGTCTTTGCTGCATGCCGCCTCCTTTAACGTCTTGTTGTACAGTCAACGCACAAATCAGAAGCAGATCTCCAGGTCTTACCAAAGTGTCTTCACTGCGCGCCACACTCATGTTGCTTCTGGACAGGAAGGAGCGTGACAGGCGGTTGCATAAGGAGATAAGTCGGACGGATTGCTGGAAAAGAAAAGAAGAAGAATAGAGTTCATGAATGAGCACAACTGGAGGATGTCGATGTCAAGTCACGTTCAGGGACAATGTTCTGCTCTATACATTCACCTTAATTACATGGCTCATTGTGATTAACACTTAGGGGACTTGACTCTTTATCAGGCCACACATGGTTAAATCGAATGTTGTGGTGTACAGAGTTGGTGCACTTTCTTTCTCAAGGACCAGGTGAGGCAGGCAATTGTACAAAACACTGGTAAAACATGCTGAATATGATCAAGTTATCTGAAACAAACAAGGGCTACATGCAGAGGTCAGTCTGTTAGTGGCCAACAACATCCACAAATCATGAATGCCCAAATCAAAACTATTATTATTAGTCAAAAACGTAAACGTTATTCTATATTGATGTCTGAAAAAAATAAAAATCCTTTTTATTTATTTATTTAATGGCACTCTAAAAATGCATCTCACTAATCCAGGTTGACTTAATGACTTAGATATTAAACTGAGCTAGGCATAATGTTCTAAATCATTTTAAAGCTGATGTTAAAGCTAATAGAAATCAGTGTATGTTCTTTTGAGAAATGGATGTCTTGAATTAGACTTTATTTGCAGTATTTCTGACATAAAATCAATAAACCTTTTTAAATCTCACTTAAACAACAATGCTTATATCTATGCTTTGTCATGTTCTGGTTGTCAGTTTTACGTGTGGAGGGAAATAAACTCAAAGTTGAATAACGGGTTACAGAAAAAGCCAGTAGCTTCCAGTGTGGCGCTCTGGAGCATGAAGACGGAGACATGGCATGACAGCTTCGCCAAAACACCGCAGATAAACAATCCCTTGATTCCTTGCAGGCTAAGAGGCAAAGCTGGGTCAGCCGTGACGGACCCAAACAGACAAGGAGACGACCGCTGAAGCGAAGCTAGCAGAAAATGTGTTTGCTATGGCGATGCCGCAGCAGATGTAGTGACAACGTCTGAGGAGGGGTTTTATGAGCTTTTAACATGTAGTGCTATAGGGATACTATCTATACTACTGGATCAATGTTCTTGTTTTTCCAGAAGTTTGAGAAATAAATAAAACACTTACTTTCCATTTTCTTCGAGCTGCAAACTTCTTGAACTTCTCCATGTTGACAGCCGACTCCTTCCTGCTCAGTGCTTGTTGGGTGTCTTTTGGCTGATTCCACAAACAGAGAAACAAGTTTGTGAGAATATTCTTGGCAAGACACATTTGGTAAAGAATCATTCAATGGATGCTTGGCAACATCCGGCTTACAAACTCAGACCATCTTAAATATGCCACAAAATGAAAAAGGATACATTTAACATTGAACAGAAAATAAAAAGGGTCCAACCTTGATCCAGGGGTGCAGGAGGCTGTCCTGAATCGTCATTCTCTTTCTGTGAAGAACAATGATACACATATTAGGAGACAGAGAATATTTGCTGGATCTCTTAAGATATTTTGCACTTTATAGTAATATAATATACAGTATATTTATTTTGCACAACTTTACAATCCCCGGACAACAAGCCCTCCTTTCCCCGCTGTATTCATCACTTTTTAGTGTCACCTGGTTTCCGTTGTGTTTTGAGCTTCTTGCAACGTTTTGTGTTTGCAACGTTTTTGTCAAGTTGTTGAATGTTTTCTAAATGCTGCCCATGTGTTGACAAGTTGGAAAACATGTTCTTCATATGCATGTGTTTGGCACATTGTGTTTTTAAATTTACATCGTTTTAAAAGTGCAGCAGGTTTCCTAATCTAAGTGTTTTCAGACGTAATTAATACTATAGTGTTTTTTTTTTGGACGATATGTTTTAGTTTTTTGTGGCAAGGGTGAAATGTTGTTATTGCCAAGCACACATCTGTATTTTGGGCCATTGAAGCATGTTCACACGAGTCGGTCATTTTAAATGAAGCCGCAGATACACAGAGGTCATCTAGTTATGTAGGCAGATAAAATGCCTTGTCACAGATGTCATTGTAAAACAACAATTCCAACAAATCAAGTGTTGGATCAGGATTTAAACTAAGTCTAAAAAAAAAACGTGCTAGTGGATTAGGAAGTCTCCACACTTGCCTTCCTCAAGGTGTCCTGATACACCCTTTCTATTCATCAAAAGTAAATGAAAGAGATGTTTTTTTTATGCAACATACCACACATGGATGAGGGTATATTTATTTATTTTCAAAATAGTTCAAGCAAACCACTGTGTTGTCAGGAACACCAGAAGCATTCCTGTTTTTAGTCTTCATCATGTCAATAAGATAGATAAATAACATGTATTTTATGCAACCATCTTCCTGGTCAAAGTCAGAGAGATTAAAGGGATTACTAAACACAGACAGCAAACACAGCTGTGAGCAGAGGGATTAAAATAAGCGTCACTCCCATGAAGGTTTAAATATGTTTTAAATGTTTGTATGCAGTTGTGAGACAGCGATATCAGATTAGGACAATCTATCATAGTCATAATCCCACTTACAATTTAGAGAATTAGTTGCAATTTTCAAAGTTATTTCTGTTTTTAGAGTATCTAAATCAAATATGTGTAACAAAAATGCAGCGCCCTAATTCATTGTAATGGGGCCAAATGGATGAAGCAACAGAATCTGTCATCCGGGTACTGTAATACTATAAAATAGGTCATAAGCCATCAAACTCAAGGATTTATAACTTAAAGTGGATATTGTGTATTGTGTAACAACAATCGCTCACCAACACTGCCAACTGCATTCAAAAAAAATTATAACTGTTATGCGTACATTTAGACAAAAACAGAGTTAAGTTGCCTTGGACTGGCTATTATCTCTAAACTAATAATTTAGCTAATTATGCCAGAAGAAAATACTTTTTTCTGCCTCTTGTATTTGTTTCATTTTTTACTGAATATATTTGAGTTTAAAACGTTGAATGGGACAACATCTCTGCTGGGTAACAAACAAAAAAGACTCCTGAAATTAAAACTTTAAGATGCCATATTATTATATTCAATGATAATTGAATTGGTTCTTACTAGAAATGTTCTAAATGAACGTAATGTGATGACTCATGTTTTGTTCTATATTGCCCTTAGTTGATCTTAAAAACTCTCATTTCCTGTGAAACTCTTGGTTCTCTTTAACAGCATGCCAAATGAGGTACCGAGACATTCATCAAAAGTCACATGACAAACTGTTTCGGCGCGTTGGGAAAAATCTAAACAGATTCGAAACGTTCAAAATATCTTTATTTAAGAGCCTAGACTTTGCTATTGGTGGTAATGAATCCTACACGGTAGGTCCATTTTTAAACAAGATTTATTCTAAAGTTGTGACAAAATCAAACAAAATATTTTTGATTTTCTAATCAAATTACGAAGATATTATATTCACACCACTAGCTTTCTTCCCATAAGTACTTCAATATGATCTTCTTTTAGGTTTTATTTTTCTGATCTCCTTGCACTCTCGTGATGTGTGTATATAAATAGATAACAGCCAATCTAGTGTACCAGTCCTAGTGGTGCGGTTGAATGTGCATCACTGCAAACTGACTGTAAAAACAACAATGCATTCTTTTGTAAAAGTTTTTGATTGTTCAACGAAAGCCAACACAACCTTTAAGGAAACTGGTGCGGTTCCAGTTCACACACCACTTCCTCCTGTGGACATCTGTTCAATCCAACATCCCTGTCTCTGACTGAGGCTGTTCTGTGTTTACTTCACGCACACACCTGAGCTGAAGTAAAAACCCACCAACCCCCTCCTCTGACTGAGGTAACAGGGCACTTCGTCATAGTGTCTTTCCTTATTTTACAAGAGAAAATGAGTGATTGACAGTGATTGTGCAGCTGCTGCAGTCCACTGTCACAGTGAACATGATGAATGTGTGTGTTCTTCAAGGGAGCCTTCATTAATCTTCCTGCCAGCCCAGTGGATCCATGTCTGCTAACGGTGTAGATCAATTAAGAGCCTTTCCGCTTTGATAAACTCCACGTAGGATTTCTCAAAGTCAGTCGCCTCTTGTCGCCCACTGTCTGTTTGATGCAACCCGTGCTTTTTCTCACATTATCTAAATGAAATTATCTCCACAACTATAATGGCTCACCGCTGTTCCAACACCCTCGCTCTCCTTTCATTGTTCTGAAGGAACAGCAGAGAGGGTTGGAGGCACTCACGGCCTTTAAGTGTAGCTGCAGCCATTCAGTTGTTGCCAGAGCAACTCTGGGACGTTCACAGCTTTAGGTACCATACCATTGGAACGTGTGCAATGGGTCTATATTTAATTTGTTAGCTTTTTAGAAAAAATAACAATTGAATATTCAGAATGATGTCTTTTTAAGTGAGCTATTGTGGAAATGATAGAGAATAAGGGATGAGAGACAATGTGTCATTTATTGTGCTGCATTATCTAACTGGCAAAGAGCTACTGCCTTTCTCATTTCAAGTCCATATTGACACTCTTACAGTTGTATTCAGAAAGATGAATTTCTGAAAATAATTTTCCTCCAAAGTTTACTAATAAATTCTTTAAATAAAGTAAACATTTTGTAACTGGTAATTGTATTAATGGATCAAGCAAAACTCTGTGAAACGATCACACACTACCACAAACAAATACAACAAAAGCATGAGCAGAGCTCGGAAAAAGGCATTAGCTGTCAAAAAGGTGTTGTTTTTTTAGAGTAGGGAAAATATGAGAAAAAGTTGTAATGGTTTTTCTTTAGAGTCATCAAGCAGAAAAGCCAGCCAACCTGGACTGTGGGAAATTGTGAGAGCTTTTTTTCACTATTTGTCATTGACTTAAAGGCGCCCTATTAAGCTCATGTTCAGGTTCATATTTGTATTAGGAGAAACTCCCTCTGCAGGGAACTTTGTGATTTTCGCCTTTGCAGACCATTTACATGCACAGAATATATAGAACACTACAGGAAAAGGAAAACCCTGAAAAACACAATTGGGCACCTTTAAGTGTTGAAACTGCAGTTCCCTCAATTCAGCGGAAGTAAACAGGAAGTATTAGGTTGCCACAAAAACCTACTGTATTTAACACACTACAGGAAAGGAAAACCCCCCCCAAAAAGCATAATAGGGCCTCTAATGATTCATAGAAAAGAATCACTCATTAAATGTATAATGAGTTGAATCCCTAGTTCACCCTTTATGTCCCAATTAAATCATATCAATCAAGGTCATGCTGGGCTGTTACTACACCTTAGAGACAAAGTACCCATAGCATCAAAATCTCAAACATAAGAAAGGGATTTGACATACTTGGGGTCTTTTACAAGGAGCCTTGTGATGAAGTCTTTGGCCAGGATGCTGGTGCTGCTGAAGAACTCCTCGTCGAACGTGTAGTCCACCGCCGACACGTTGGCCAGAGTCTCCTGCTTGTTGTCCCCCAGGAAGGGAGACGCACCGCTCAGACTGCAGGGACAGAGGGTGACAGCAAGGTGAGAGGTGTGTTGTTGAGCAGGGAGAGACGATTAGGGTTGATATCATGTTTATTATACACATATTGTGCGAATAATCCAGGGACAGATAAAGATAAAAGGCACAATGAACACGTTTGAAGATGAAAGGTTATGTATTATAATCATATAGTTATTGTGATTGTGTGACTGCCTTATCAATAAAACAGTCAAACAGTTGAGGGAAAAATATAACTGAGACATTACCAAAGAAAATCTGAAATTGGTGAATTTATTTTGGACTGCGTGTTTTAATCAACGCAACAACTTCAGATCCTTTAATTGTATTTACTCTAACAACACGCCGAGCGCTGTCGATTTCACTTCAAGAATAAACTCACACGCCTCTGATCAGCTTCGGCTCTCAAAACTGAAACCGTGAACCTTCTACTCCTTGAGGTTGGGAATGCGATTACAGAGCTGTGTAGCAAATAATTCAACAGTCAAGCCTCAATATAAAATGTACGTTTTTGGGGCGACTGTAGCTCAAGAGGCAGCGCTGTCCACCAATCAGAGGTCAGGGGTTTGAACTCTCCCGATTGCATGAATAACAGAGTTTGGGTGATCTTTTTAAAAAGGGTGCTTTAAAAATGCAATCTATTTATTTTTCTTACACAATCACTGTCACTGGAAAGCTAGCTGGGAAGGCTCTTGTATACATTGATAACACGAGGAGTATAGTGTAAGGATGTTTATGGGACAATGTTGCCCACTATGACGAGTCCAAAAAGTGTGTTTCTAATGTACAAACACAGAGTTTAAAACACACAGGGCCCCTGCATGTAGATGAGGTCCCTTGGGGCATTTAAAGCACATATTAGTGTGTGACAAACACCGGCCTCAGAAAACCTCTCCAGCTGGTCAGCACCAGGCGCTGATAAACACGCCAGCTGGGACAGACATGTAGGTGGTGCGGGGTGAAGCTCAAGTCCAGTGAAAATATATAAATGTATCGACTGTATAAGGCACAGCTGCTCACAACAAACAAGTAATTAAGGCTCTTAACTAAACAAGACAGCCAAAAAGGCAGTGAAACAGGATGCTGTGGCAACATAGCATAACATTACTCTAGTAGTAGTTACAGTGGCTGACAGGGACAACTGCACTACAACGGCCAAGAACATTTCCATTAGGAAACACGCGCTGCAGTTTCAAAAACAACATGCAAATTAAAAGACGCTGCAGGACGCTCAAAACACAATGGAACGGGGGAAACACAATGCACACAGCTGGGACCGGAGCACTTGTTGACGTTTGGGGATTATAAATTGGCCAAATATTACTGTCACTGGAAACGTATGTTTTATTGGCTAATTTGAACAATGTGATCGCATGATTCTTTCTGATATTATTGCAGATCTGCTGTAAGCTAGCGAGCTAACCTCATCATTTCAAATACTCTGAAGAATCACTTGGAGTTATGAAACAGACCAACTCTACAAGAGTGACATTTGGAAAACTTTATAATCCTGGAACGCCAACAAGTGCTCCGGCTCCGGCCCCAGCTGTGTGCATCAGTTTTTAGTGACCTCCTTTCTGTTGTGTTTTGTGTTTGCAGCGTTTTGTGTTTGCAGCGTTTTGTGTTTGCAGCGTTTGGTTTATGCGGCAATTTTAGCAAACCATGCGCAAGTTTGTCAAGTTGTTGAATGTTTTCTAAATACTGCGTATGTGTTGTCTAGTTGGGGAAGATGATTCTTCACAGTTTTATATTTGGACCGTTTATGAAAATGCATTGCATTTCTCCTAATGGAAGTGTTTTGGGACGTAATTAGTACTATTAGTGTTTAGTTTAGTACGATATGTTTTTGTTGTTTGAACTGCCAAGCACACTGTTTTATTAAATATATATAATAAGACTGAAAACTCATCTCTTTCGACTCCACTTCGAGCGATAGAGCTATTACCAAAGCACTTTTATACTAATAAAGGACTGGCTTACCTAAAGCCAGTTGAGTAGCACTTGAAATGTTTGGCTCTATGAAACCTGATGTACTTATATGATTCTGTTTTCTTCAAGGTTGTGTCTTCCTGGTCGAATGCACTTATTGTAAGTCGCTTTGGATAAAAGCGTCAGCTAAATGCAATGTAATGTAATGAAACAGTAACAATTACAAATATATATATGCCTTATGCACAATTTTACTTATCAAGCCGATTCACAGCAGACTGACTGATCCACTTCCTTCATTCAAAAGAATTCAGGCTACATTATCTCAAAAGAAGTCTCTTTATCATCTTTAAAAAACGGAAACCATAACATATTTGGTGATTACTTTAGAGGTCCCTGATGGAGCTTTTGTGTGCAACTCTGATTACAGCGCGGCAATTGGGTCATCACTCATGCAGACAAGGCCCATTAAGAGGTTGTAGGTGCTCATGAAAATCACTGCAAATGGTTTATTGAATTATCCCAGGCCCTTTTTTCTGTTCCTTTTTTATTCTTTACAAAAGGAGAGGAGCAGTAAGTGCAGCTCAGTGATGCTTGGCTGTGATAATAGGCAGGGGGGGATGTTTTTCCTACCTCTCCAGTCTGTGACAGCTGTGTGGGCGGACAGCGTGAATAAAGATTGCGTATGGATGCATTTGCTCATGTACTGTAGAGGCAAAATGGTGCATGACTTTAACAGCAACTCATATTCCTTTTTTGAAATGAAGTGTGTAATGTTTGCAGCTACTCATTATGTAACAATGAGATAACACCTATACCTTCAGCCTCCCTATCTTTACCTCACTGTATTTTGGTGAGGGCTCTCCACATGTTTGTGTGGGCACATTTTGTGTTGGTGCTTCGCGTAGGTGTCTCTCTGATGGATAGAAGGCGTGTGGGAAGCTTAGGAAAACCTTGTAACCGGGTGAATAAAGAGGACAGCATGGTCGAGAGCCAACAGCAGTTGATCTGTCGGTCGCTAAGGGCGTGAACCTTTCTCTCGCTCTTGAATTAAACTGTGCTGACAGGTCTGCGAATGGCTGCATCACCAACAACCGCTAGTTCAATGAAAGGCCTTGGCTGTAGGAGATGAAGATGCTCTTTATGTGTTGGATGTTGTAAAGATCAATTGGTAATACAAGCAAAGTAGCAATAAAGGAGAATCTGTTTAACAAATTATGACACGGCCGATATGTAACCAGTTCTTCTTCTCTGAGGTCACCAACAAGATCAACAAAAGAGTGACCAGACCTGGGGCATCAGTATATATATATATTATATAAAAAAGAGCCATTTGCAGATCAAATGCTTTATGATTCAACCACGTATGTTTTCAAGTGAGTGTGATGGGCATTTACAATTCCCCATTTAAGTTTTCATTTTCAAATACTGGAAGCATTTTCGGATCATTTCATCATGTGCAGCAAGAAAAGTAACACATTTTAGATGCCTGTGTGTATAAAGTCCTCGTGAAAAAATGTTAATTAGTTAAAAACGTTTTTTGATTAAGTATAAATACCTTTTATTGTGAGTATTTTTGAAAAGATATATGCTTGAACCCTTGGCAGCGGTGGACAAATATTTAAGCAGCACCACATTGAAGAAACATTTTATGTTCAAGTACTTCAAATTGTTCTTGCGCATACAATTCTGAAAACAGAAAGCCAACTTCTCATTTCCCCATGAGGCAACAGTAGTGACCACAAATGCAGTTTTCACAGGTAGAAACCTTGAGGAGAACAAGGCTGACCAATCAAGGCATACATGAGACACAAATAATATAAAGTAGCATAAAGGCATCTGAAAATAACACTTAAATTAGTTCAGTACATGATTAAATATGCTGCGGCACTGCCTGAGTGGAAAACAGCACCAGTGTTACATCACAGAGCATGTGGTAAATAATGACTCACTGCGTTATAAACCAGGGTCAACAAAAGGCAGCTTTTTGTTTGTCCTGAGATCTGCATGATGCTGTAGGCCTTTCCGTATGTTTGTTATTGTAATGAGAATTAAAAAAAATGTGATTGTTCAAATATTTTGTTATCTTACCCCTGGTGTCAATTTACATTTTGAATACTTAGAAGCAGTTCAGTAAAAGTGAGAAGTCCTTTTTGTTTTTTGACTCTTGTTTTGCAGCGGAGAAGATCAGGTTTGAGACTTGAGTTTTATTAGACTTTTGATTTTTGATTAGGGAAGTTGAAGTTTTTTTTTTATTAAGCATTAAATGCTTTAGTTTTGTTTTTGTTTTGAAGGTAAATAAACTGCTGAATTGGAGATATCCATTGTGCTGTGTACTTTTCTTTTGAGTGGGAAGAGTGAGGATCTTATTTCAGGCATTTAATCAAACACGTCCAAAAAAACGCTGACTTTGACACGCGTGAAATGGATGTGGTAAGATGCCAACTCATTTAAGTATTTTAGGACTCATTCCTGCACCATTTTAAAGTGAATTCAGGAGGGAGCTAATATCAGTCCAATCAGCAAAATAATATCTCTATTCACAAAGCTGCTGAAACAATATCACGCTCGAGTGCACTGAAAATGCAGTTTTTTTTGTTGCTGCGGGCTGCTCCATTATTCACGACAAACAGCGCACACTTCACAGCGACGGTGGCTGCTGAGCGGCCCGACGACTTCAACGACAGCGAGGTCAAAGGTCATGTTTACAGAGTGACTACGCCCTGGGGTTTGTATGAAAATATGAACACAAAAAGGTGGCGGTTGTAAAAACCCTGCTGTGTGACACGTGTTTACAATTGACATTTCACACACTTATCCATCATGGCTGGTCATATTTCAGATACTTACAGGATGTAGGTTATCACACCAACACTCCTGCAAGACAGAGAACTTTATTAGACAGCCATGCATCGTGCAAAACATACATTTACTTAGCAGCAGATGTTCATCAGAAATAATGATGTTATAACAGCATATGTGCATTACGCTCATTGTAGAGCAGATTGACTTTTTGTTTACTCACCACATGTCAGCCTCCAGGCCCAGAGGTTCATAGTTGACTACCTCTGGAGCTGTGGGGAAAAAAGAAGATCATTAATATTCAGCCAAACACACACCCACATTAACTTTATCTCTGATTTAATTTTCTACTTTCCCTTACTGATTCCTTTACTTATTTTCTTCTAGCAATGCCTCCTTCGTGAGTATTATTTGAGCTTGTTAGCACATTAGATTGTATGTGTTTCTTTAGGTGCGTGGTTTACCACCTACTAGTACTGAGATTCTTTATCCTCTTTTTGTCTCTTGTCACATGTCTTCAGATGTGTGAACACTGTAGTTAAAGTTGGATTATTGCATTTCTTTCTAAAACAAAACAAGAATACTGGCAGAGAAAGAGGATGAATCCAGACAACTGCCCCTCCCTTCAAGCAAGTTCTTCTGGCTTCAGAAGCGTGTAGAACACACTAGGAGAAGCACAATTGGGTCCCTTTAAGAGTTGAAACTGCAGTTCCCTTGATTCAGGGGAAGTAAACAGGAAGTATTAGGTTGCCATGGAGACGTTTAGCTGTGGGCTGCAACTTGAGCCACATTTATTTAGCCTTGAAATGTTTATATTTCCTGTTCATGTTTACAATGGAACGAATGGATTCAAACACTATGACTATTATTAAACTACTTTGACTATGGAAAAGATGATGAAGCAGGGGCCGGAGTTATAAGGAGTATCTTTTTATTTATTTAAACCACCTTAAACATAACATTCAGGTCTTTTCATCATCCGACATGGCGTCATTTGAGACATGACATGTTAATTACTTTTACAAAGTTTACATTTTTGTAAAGAGAACTCTCTTCTCTTTTATCACAGCAAAACGAAATACTATGAGCTATAAAAACATAGCAAGTTAAACGATCTGTGTTTATTTATGTTATTTTTAGACACCTTCTGGGGCTTTATGTTTTTCCTCTCCAAAGTGTACTAAGGTTCAGGGTTTTCAAGGAAGGTATTTCTTTGTGGATTTATGGATAAGGTGTTGAAACCCTAAAGAAATGTACCAAACATTTTTAAGTATCTTAACAAGCTGTCAAATGACTTTCAGAGTGGTTAGGTAGCTTAATAATTCAAGCTTTCTGACACTTGATCTTTATATATAGCATTTGACCGCTGCCATCCTGCTGGACTGGGAACAGGCTCTGGTCTTGGCCTGGATGCTGGTAGTTGGCAGCAGCGTTGAGGAGGTGGCGACTGGGAGTATTGGCAAGTGCCCCGAGGCAAAAAGGGGTAGGTGATGGGAGATGGGACGGAGCTACCGATGTGTCTATTAGTGTGTGTGTGTTTGTGTTGGCAAGAAGGATCAGTTCTGATAATCTCCAGTCTATTATCAGCTCCCTTTCACTTAGTCCCTATGGCACATTTGGCACATTCTCTCACAATACACAACCCCTGGTATAAAGCCAAGAACACAGGGTGGTGCAGGGTGTGTGAGGTAGAGAAAGGATGGAGATGCACAAACTCACTGGAGCAGAAGCTTTTTAAACTACATACGGAGCAATAAAATAAGAAAGGACCATGATATATATGATATACAAACAAAGTGATACTGACCTACAAATTCTGGAGTCCCAAAGATGTTTTTAAAATCATTGCCAAAATCTATCTTGTGGGCCAGGCCGAAGTCGATGATCTTGATGCGCGGGTGAGGCACTGAGCGGTGCAGCAGCATGATGTTCTCCGGCTATAGAAGATCGAGAAAGAGAGACAATTAATAAGGGGGGGACAGGGAGGACAGACAGCATTAAGGAGGTGGCATTTTGCCTATTTTTTAACTCACAGATGATGAGTGTTGAAAACTGATCCATTACCTTTTTCTTTACATTTTCTTTAGCTGACGGTTTTACCCAAAGAGCTTGACAAGTGCATTAAAACATGAAGATACAAATTCAAAAAAATGGAGGTCCATTAGCTTCAAATGAACTAAAACCCTTTGGATGGTACAATAAACTCTCTGTCTGAAACCATAGCAAAGTCTGCTCTGATTGGTTAGTTGGCCGGCTTTGTTTTGATTTGTCAACCGCTTATAGATGTCCCGCCCCTTAGCCTATCATGTACAATGTGTTGGAGCGCAAGCCAATAGAAGAGCAAGTGTTACATAGTGATGTTACTATGTTATGAGTCCAATGGAGGCGTTACAGGAAGGGGGAGTGTGTGGGACAGAAACTTCCTCTGGCGAGAAGTGTAGGATTTGAACCTTTGCAGACCCTTTTCATCTACAGCCAATAGGCCATTACCAGTGTCCCCTAACTTTTCAGTGTAGGACACACACTAAGTGTAAGCAAGGGTGTGAGCAACAGAGTCAGACAAAAAAACCAGGAACTGGCTGGCAGGAAAGAGGCACCGGCCATGGAAATCCTATGCAAAACACGAGTAGAATCCTCTCGAGGAAGTGGGAGAAAGGAAAGAACGGCGAAGATCTGCTTTGAGCAAAGCCACACAACAGAAGGAAGACATTCCTAAGGATAATGCCTCTTTCAAGACGAATCCATTTTCCTTCCAATGCTCATCCTTTCAGCTCCACTATTAGCCAAACTTGAGGAGGACAAGAGGAGGCGCTTAGGATATACAATCAGACTCCAGAGCAGCTTGTTGGTTTTATTCTCTAAAAAATGTTATACAATGATGTTTTTGCTGGATATACATTTGTTTTAGTTAGCTGTTTACATCATTTGAACACCTCGCTTGATGTTCAAATTTTAGGTACTTTCTTTTGACTTTATACTTCTACTATTCAACATCCCTGGGGAAAATATCGTACTTTTTATTTTACATACAACATGTGAAGAGTTTATAAATCATGTTTTTTAATAAATCAAACTATTAAAAAACAGTTTGTACAAATGCAACTGAAACAATTAAGCGATTATCAAAACAGTTGCCAATTGTTTTTTTCAAATGTGATCAATCGCCTTTGTCAATTTTAATGTAAAAAAGTTTAAAAACATGTTATGTTTCCAGCGGCACACATGTTAGGATTTCATGCTTTTATTTTGAACCCAATTTACTTTGTGCTCTGGGTGATTGGCATGGTACAACATTTTGCAAACTAATACAGCAACCTATTAATGAAAAAAATAACACATTCATCCATAATGAAAATAATGAATTCAAATCAATTTAAATTAATTCCACCTCAACTAACTTCAACAATTAAATCCCGCTTTTGCATGCACCCATACAAATAATAAGTAAATGATATAATGTAAAATAATATTACTTATTTTTCTGCATAAAATGTTTATTTCTAACGCTTTAAGTGTATCAACCTGATTATATTTGCATACTTTTGCTGACAGAGTTTATCCTTCACTGCGGTGTTATCCCTTATTGTAAGTCGCTTTGGAGAAAAGCGTCAGCTAAATGCAATGTAATATAATGTTTAGTATGTGCTTTCTCCTCCATCATGAGAAAGTAGACATTTCAGTGAAGTAGTATGGTAACTTTCCTGTCAAGATTAGTAACCAAAAACACGTTTCAAAATCACAAATACTACATGATTCATTTAAAAGATAGTAAATAGGGATAAAGTCAAACTTAGAAGGGCCCTATTATGCTTTCTGAGGTGTTCCCTTTCCTGTAGTGTTATAAAGGTTTTTGTGCATGTAAATCGCCTGTGAAGGCTGAACTCCCTGTGTTCCTGGAGTTTCTCTCCTGTAAACTCCCAACCTGTCTGAAACGCCTTCATCTGACTCCTTTGTTTACTTCCGCAACATAGTGACATCACTACACTCGTGCTTCTATTGGCTAGTGCTCCAACAAATTGTACATGATTTGCTAAGAGGCGGGACATCTCTAAGTGGTTGACCAATCGCAACAGAGCTCATCAATCAGAGCAGACTGGGCTCTGGTTTCAGACAGAGGGTGAAAAGAGGTGCTGCAGCACAGGCAGTATGAGAGAAATGTAGAGCTTTTTGAACATTAAAGCATGGAAACGTTTCACAGTAGAGACACAAAATACCCAATTTCAAAAATAAGCAGAATATATCCTTTTTTAAATACATTTTTACAATATGTTTTCGAATCATTGTAGTCCATCAGTTCAGACAAGATGAATCAGACATCCTCATTCTGCCCTGCCCAACACATTAAGCTCTTGAGCGTAATACAACATTGATTGGCAGTATCACTGTCTCTTAAAAATGGTTTGACGTTCACTTTTTAACTGTGTAATGGCAGTTTGAAAGTGGTCCAATAGAAGATTTGTGATTTGTGGTGCTTTCTGACAATGACTACAGCTGTCATGGTATGGTAATGGCTGCAAAAACAGCCACATAAACCCACATTCAGAAAACTAAAATTGACAAAATGGTTTTACATACAAGTCAAAATGTCCGAAAATGGCTGACCAACAACAGTTGGAAATTGCGTTACTGCCGAAAGTTATTCAACTAATCAAATGAAGTCCTAAAATGAGCCGCTGCTTTACAGAGAAGAACAGTGGCTGATCTGAGAAGCTGAGGCGGCTGTAGTTTTTAAAAGCTCTAGCATTGATCACAAGTAGATGGCAGGGTACAGAGGTCATTATATTCTGCAAACCTGGAGGCCAAATGTCCTGAACTCTGATGGATGATTTGTGAAGGTTGTTCTGTAAGTGGAGGTCTGGAAAGTTTATTCTGAAGACACCATGTCCAGCCGAAAGTGGACAACCGATCAATGGTATTGAGCGAGATTTAAGTAAAGTACTACCACAACAGTACACCAAACATCTGAGGGAAAAACCTCAGCTACAATATGATGTCTCTGTACACTACGACCTATTCTCTTCTTCCTTCAGGAGTCTCAGAATACACAGACTCCACATTCAAATATAATAAAAAGCAAAGAATTAACAAAAACTGATGTGATGGTCGCTGTAATTAGCCTCAGAGGCTTGCAGGATCAACAAAAAAAAGAGACGATGTAAAGAGAAAAGGATATAAAAAGGTGAGGTCCAAAAGAGGCTAGCTGATCTAACTAAAAATACATAAATAACACATTGAGATGATGCTGCAGTTCAGTACTCTAGTGAGCTGGCATTTTGGAAAAATAGATGTGCTGCGAGGCTGCTCTTTACTGTGACCTCTGATAAGAGGAAAATATGTTTGTTTTTTTTGTTCAAAGAAAATATCCAACTGTGTTGTCTAGATGCAACATTACCTTGAACATGGCAGTGTCAAATGTATCAAAATATGTGCGACTTTATTTGAAATTGACTAAGTAATTTCTCAACTCTTCATTTCAGATTTTGTCATTTGTTTTGATTTAGTTTAATACCAATGTTCCAACTACATCAAAACCTGCTTAGCTTTAGTTGGTGGTTTAGAAAGGAGTGGTGCAGGAATGAGTTAGCATTTTACCACTTCCAGTTCCATCTTACAGTAAACTGTCTATTGAGCATTTTTTTTGGTTAAATGCCTGAGATAAGGTCTTAATTAATTCATACAAGCTGAAGAGATTTTAACATTTTGTTCTACGACATAAAAAGCATCAGGAAACCCATTTAAGAAGCTTCTACAGTATGTGTCTTAAAAACAGCGGTTGCTAACAAGTGACTTAATTAGACATCTAAATGTCATCACGGCAACGCAACTTTTCCTTTAGTTTTGCAGTGCTGATGGGCAACCTGCTAATTGACTTATAGCGTTAGCTTTTTGCTTCTGTCGATTGCATTCACGCTTTAAAGATCATATAGCTTAGTGGTAGTTGTTTAAAGCCAAGCAAACACCATTTTTTTGTTTCTATTTGCCCGGAGATTGTCCAGCTGAACAAAACATCTAGGTATCATAAAAGTGTGTTTGCCACAGATTTTATTTTCTACAATACTTTGAAATCTGAGATAGCCCTCAACTGCTCCACTCAACTGCTCCACTCAACTGCTCCACTCTATTGAGACACGTTTTAAGGATGGAGGATGGTGTCTGTCTTTAGTGACTGCAGTACCTTAAGGTCAAAGTGAGCGATCTGTTTGGCGTGCAGGTAGAAGACTCCATCCAGGATCTGCTTGAGGAACTGAGTGGCTTCCTCCTCGCTCAGCGACTCCTTCTCTGCCAGGAAGTCGAAGAGCTCACCGCCGGCCACGCTGGATGAGGAGGGAGAGAAAGAAGGAGGGAGAGAATTAAAACGAGGATCTCTCAGATCAGAGCCAGCTACAAATCCCTGCTTATCAGAGCTGATGTACTCTCATCATCCTGCTGCTATAGAGCCTGACCAATTTACACATCCCAAGCACATTTTAACCAGCATTGTCCTCATCAAACTTCTGTAATGAAAACCCTGCATTGTTTACAGAAAAGGGGAGTATGTGGGGAAAGGAAAATGCCCACATTTGCTGTTTTATTGGACTTTTTAAACAGATTTGCTTGGGTATTAATATAAAAGAAAAAGACCTTGCAAGAATGATAAGGGTAGAATATAGCATTAACAACAGGAAAAGTAGAAGTAATGAAGGAGTTTAAATCTAATCATTCACAAATCATAATAAACATGCAGTCCTTTATCCAATGCAAATCAACTCCATTTGCATTAATAACTACAACAGGAACATTGGCATAAAATACCATTCAAATAGCTTTAAAAAACCCAGATTTGACCCATTTTGGGCAAGAGATTATTAAGATTCAAGAATCTAAAATCTTTAATTATTTTCCTTCTTACATCTTGTTTTACCCCTTTTAATATCTATAATATCACCACTTGCTAACCAATACCACATTGCACTACGTTTTATCTATCAAAACCGTGCCCTTTTAATGAAATCGTAGCGTGCTTCAACACTTAACACTTAAAGGTTGAAAAGAAAAGCAGAGACAGGGGAATGGAGTGAGCAGAGGATTTATCACGGTCACAGCGTGAGAGGAAGCCTGCAGCGAGAGCAGATAACTGTAATTACTGCCATGCTTATGCAGTTGTTTACTTTCACTCAACACATACAAACATATGTTTTTTTCCTACGATATGTGAGGAATGTAAGTCACAGTTACATAGAAAAATTACTCATGAGCCAATTTTCATGTCAGGATTTACATTTTAATAACCAAAACAATCATGTAAGTGCCAGGAATCATATGAAATGTAACTTTATGTGATAAGAAAACTGATTACCACACACTTCACCCTCCAGGGAGGAAACAGCAGCTGGACCTCCACCCTCTCCTCCCACTTCTTCCATGTTTCTTTCATCATCTATTAGTGGTTACCAGAGTGTTCATAAACAATCACAGACAGGAAAGAAGGTTCCTGCTTGAACAAGGTTTTTCATACTGGTCTGTTAATGTTTAACGTCAAAGCACAGTTGCTGTCATGGCTGTATTTACCCAGGGTGCAGCAGGAGGAGGAGAGGATGTGGAGGACAAAGGGAAACCACATCTTTTTTAAATCCCATGTAATTTGTTTTGTTACCTGCCCTGAGCAGGAAACACACCATGTCTGTCACCCTACTAGCTTTGTGCTAATGATAATATATGTAGCACCAGGCAACAAAAACAATGTATTCTTGTTAAATTAACGAGTTATATGACCCTTAGTAACTTGTAGTTTTAGACCCCGTCACAACTCTCAGGCATGCTCAGTGCAAGATTGTCTCTTGAAACTAAGTGGATAAGTGTCTCAACACTGTCTGCTTTAGTGTGAACTGTCAGCAGCCATAGAGTATTAATGGCACAGACTTAGCATTAAGATTGAGTTATTGGCTCTCTGTTGATTTAACTGAATAGGGTTTTGTAAGTGTATATGTCTTTGTGCCTTTTTTATTCAACTAATTCAATATTAATATATACAATCAAGGTACGATAAAACAGAATCAGCAGAAAGCATAGCTTTAGACTTCCTGTGACATATCTTATTACAGGGTTTTTAGTCAAAGACCTCAATCATAACTACAAACAATATGATACATTAGTTTTAAAATGTATTAAAAAACATATTTCAACTCTCAAGATAAACATTTAAGGAAGTCATGTACAGGGGCTGAACAAATACAAAACCAGAAACTAAGAAGGAGAAAGTAATAGACCAAAAATCTCTACATACTTTTTTAAGAATAATAGTAAGTTTTATATTCATATTATTAGTTAAGTGAAATCATCATCATCCTCATTAAACTCTAATGTGATTAAAACAGCTTTTAAAATAATAGTTTTTTCCTTCCATACATGACCCTGTGAGGAAGCGCACACACTCCCTCACTAACATTTTGGCTTAACTATTTGTTTGTTAAGAAAGGTAGTACATGTTTCTTCAGAGTTGTCTGTATTTCAGTTAAAGTTATAAAAACAGTTTACATAGACAAATTAATAAAATGCATCTAAATGAATTTGTCAGTCTTTAAAACACACAATCACAAAGTAATCACCATTTCCTTTGTTCAGACCATGGATGTATAATAAGAACTGGATACAGCGTGGTAGGCGGGGCCTCATTCATTCCTATGAGAGCTGCTCATTAGCGCATGATGATAAAATGGCCCAACTTTTGAGAGAGTGAAACGTCACAGATTACCCAGCATGCCTGAGAAGTACCCGTATGTGCGCTCATAGCGCATGCGCAACTTTAACCAAAATGCTCGGTCACATCAAGCACGTCAATTTGCGTACACGTAACAGCCACGCGCGTTCATGACAGCATGGTAATGGATGTTATTATGATGCATTTGATATTAACGAGGCGGCAGTTAGCAGCTAGCGGCTAGCTAGTAATTATGCTAATCTACACATCAATCGTTATGTGCTTATATTACGCTGTAACAGGATCTAGTGATATCCAACAGAGCTTCATTTAGCATGAAATAATTATTGCACAGTGCAATAAGCTTCTTAGTGCAATAATAAGCTACAGGGACGTTAATCTAACGTCGGTAATATTAACTTTATTTAATACAACATTTACGGTACAAGATTTAATCATACAGCCCATGTAGTATAATATTTTACAAATGATGAATTACAGCAAACATGTGCAATATATCCATTATTACAGCTCCGTGGGCTGGCAGTAAGGCGATATGGGTCCGTTGTTATTGTGCATCCATGGGTAAAGATAAACGCATGTAGTACTGAACACGTAACATGAACGTGCGCGTTCATAATGCAGAGGGAAATAACTCTCAGAATAACGTTATTAGCACATTTTTTAAATTTGAGAAAAACTAATGTTTTTAATAAGGGCTATACAAGTGTTCATACTGGGTTGTTTATTTGGTTTAAAAAATATTATCCAACGATTTACAGACCACTCTTTCCCCATGTAAGTCAATGGGAAAAAGTGTTTCCGGGCCTGGCAACCAAACGGAAGTGGAGTACCGCCGTTTGGCCACCACGAATATTTTCATCTGAGTCCGGCGCACTTCCTGGGGGCTTGGTTTTATTAAATGTAGACAACAGTGTTTAATTTTGTATTTAACCGTTCACTCCGCTTTCAGAACCATGACCTGATTGGCCAGGTTGGGTTGGGAAGGCGGGCAGTCTCCTATACATGTGGTTGGAAAGAGAGGGGAGGGCGGCATTTGTGTTAGTTCCTTGCTGGTGAACGCAGCACCAGGCATGAAGTTTTGTGTTCCTGTAAAAGAATATGGAAGGCTAAGAAATAAAAAGCCTATTTTTTAAAGAAAACCCTCTCTCCACGTATTGTTTTTTCACCTGCACCTCACATCGTAACAGACCCCTTGTAACATTGCCAAAACTACGAATAATAATGAAGTGAACTTGTAATTTGTGTCCTTAGGGAAGCAAATCCCATCACATGGCTGGCAGTGGCTCAGAGCAGCTCTTCCTGGGAGTGCTTGAAATGAATATGTTTGGGATCCATGGTCTAATTCAACATGACACTATTCCTGGTCAGGGAAATAAAGTTCAAAGTACCCAAAGACAGCAGAACAGAAACCATGACGTTTAGGGATGTCCCGATCACCTTTTTTTGCTCCCGATCCGATCCCTATCATTTGATTTTGACAATCGGCCGATACCGATTTTTCCCGATCCGATCTTTATGCAATGCATTAAGAGAAAAAAAAGGTAACCGATAACGGCTGGTCATCCAACGCGATTAATTCAGCTATCTTGGCTGTTATTTTTTTGGCCTTTTCACTGTTCTGGGGCAGTTTCTCTTTCCTTTTAAAAGTCTCTGAAAGTGTCGGTTGTTTCAGTTCCGTTACCTGAGTGGCCGCTGTGTACGAAAAAGTACACGTCCCACCGTCCGGGACGTGTTATTTACAATATTGGACAAGTAGATCTTTCAATTGACTTGTCCGGTGGACAAGTGATGTTTTTCGCCCTGATTTATTGACAAATTATTGATAAATTCAGTTTACAAAAGGCAGAACTCATTCGCAAATTGTCCGTGTCCGCCATTGTTCGTTTAGAAATGTTAGTTTCGGATCTGCTTGTCGATTCCTAAGGAAATGCATCTCGCCGCTTTCTGTACAGTTAGACGGGGGCGGGGCGGGAAGTGTAGCACAGTTGGGAAGCAAAACTCGGTTCCGAGTAGGAACAAATAACAATTGTCCGGTACCGGGATTAATAGGAGTTGTGAGGACAGGAGGCGAGGCCGAGCCCCGCGGACCGCAGCGCTCTCTCTCTCTATGCTCCGTATCAGCTGATCGCTGCACGGTGCAGCTCAGCGTCTCTCTCTCTCTTTCTACACACAGCGGATCCGCTGCCCGTTTAACAGCCTCATCTTTGTCAAACTTTCTTATGTCCTTTCTCTAACACGTAATGAAGGTTATTAAGCGTTTTAGCTCCTGTGTTGTTAATATTGACCGCCATTTCCTTTATGAAGTGAAGCAGCCTCCCTGTCTGTGTCCTCGCGCTGTCTTTACATCCCCGGACCCCCAGACTCGGAGGAGCACAGGGATGTCAGTATTGTTTATGAAGCAGGGTATAGAAAGTACATTATTGAAATGAAAATACTATTTATTTACTTTTACAAACAGTGAGCAGCTGGGCAGCTGCAGCATGTGTATTGCAGGACATGTGTAAGCGTGCAAGCGTCTTTGAGTTGTAGAAAAGCGCTAGGCCTATAAATATAATGTATTATTATTATTAGGCCAATGTGTTGGACATGTGTGGTTGGACTCTGTCTCACAGG